GGCAGCACTAGGAGTAGTAGTCTAATAGATTTCGGCTGGACGAACACAACAACCAGAGTCTATAGGAATTTTAACATAACAGCTGTTTGCACCTGAAAGTCATGCCCGATAGATCAAGCATCATTTCCATATAAGTGATACAATTCTAGCCATATATAAACTTGGATTTCCTTTTCTAATTCCCCTTAGTAATGTATTGTCATTGGCGTTAAACTGATAAATATGATCATTCGTAAAAATAAAAAAGTAAATATGTAATTTTTGATTGACCGAGATTCGCTTTCGAAAAAGACGTTACCGTTCCCATTCCTACCTAAAACCCTCGTAGGCAAAAGGTGAACATGTGACGAAATGCGATCAGTATGGGATTTGTTAAAACGGAAACACTGTGAAATGAGATTCTTTAGAAAAATAAACAAAAAAAAATAGAGAATGGAGTGGTTTGGTACTTATGGTTGGACCGGTGGTGGCACATACATGTATGACCAGTTGAACTTCCCTCTCAGGTTGTTTGGCACATTCACCCGGTCGATCCATATATTCAACAAATTCATTAATTCCGATCTGGCTCGACTGAGTACTCAGACGTAAATTCTCTGTATCTATCAACATTTAATTGGTGATTTAGGCGACGTAGCAGCTAGCCATGAGCAATATACTAACATTTTTATCGACGTGACATGTAGCTTCATGCGTAGGTGGTGCGTGCAAGTAGGGACCGATTAAATTTGCGTACTAACGCAATTAGCTTTGCTTTCCGGTGATCATGCATGGTTTATTTATGACTTGACAAATGCACAGCATCACTGATTACACGTACAGCAACTCTACAAAGTGTACAGTGCAGTGTACTTAATTTTACAGTCGCTGCAGACTAAGCTAAGCAACTTTAGTGGTTCAAGCAACCCCATATTATATACAGACGAATTAAAAAGATTGTTATCGTCATGGACACATGGTTAGCTAGCTTATGTACAAAGCAAAAAATACTTACCTGCTCAGTTCTTAATCTGTGAAATACTACTAACACTTTTCATTTGTCATATATTGACTTTGACATACAATACAACTAACCGTGATTAACGAGGAAAAGACAATCAACTAATTATATGGTCATGTCAGACGTATAAGGTTTTTACGCAATTACAATGTACCACTTTGAACACTACTTTATTTTATAATATATTATCAGCAACCACAAAATTAGTGTCATACAAAAAATACTTCCAAATACAGATTTTTTTTAGATAATGACTTTTTCTTGAAACAAGAACACATTATATATCCGTTTACGTTTGTATACTCTACTGTCCCGGATGACACCGATACTAAGGACGGGTGCTTAATTAGTATTGGCGCCATTTAGTTGGGGCGGTTGCTTGAACATGACTGATGAGATAGCTCTGCTACTTAGCACAGCTGAGCTACCGATCATGTATATTTTCTCCATGGTATTGCCAAGTTTGGTGAACTATGCTTGTCTAACTACCCATCTGATTAACTTGGAGCATGAGTACTGCTTCTATGCATGTGACGTATTTATAGTGTTTGCTAATTATAAGCACGTACTGTTCTGACCATGGCACACACAGAGATGTACAGGATGTATGTACGTACGGTGACCACTGTTCAAATGATCAATCAAATCCAATTAGGGGCTTGTTTTTTTTGCCAATTAATTAGCCCGTGTTACTTAACAAGTCACACACTAATTAATTAAAAGTTGCCTCACGCACTTGTCCAGTGGCCATGTGATGAGCTCCAATATATTATGGGGCGACCAATTTCAAGATCATATAGACTCGATAGTTTGGCAAAGAAATTGACATGTGATTGGCAATTAGGTTCCCATAGCATATTGTTTTCGTTTACGAGACGGCCTTGTGATGTTGTGGTTCCCAAAATGACGAGTGTGCTTGCTTGTTCTCCTCTCTGAACCTTAAAATAACATCTGTCAGAGAACTAGTGTGCCCACATTGATGCAATAATATACCGGACACAACTAATTAAACAACCGACAGTTATACATCTCTCTTCATCGAGAAAATATATATGCTTTAGATACTCAGGTCATAAATGTTTGGTGCTTAATACAAGATTAGATCGAAATATTGAAATTCAGACAATCAACTTTATATATTAGAATATAGGTTTGTAAAATATATTTTTCTTATTATATTATGATAGCACTTATCGAGACAAATATCTATTGATGTCTTCTTTTTTATGATTTTAAACTAAGCGTTTAAAGAATGTTCTAATTATGAAAAAAATTAAAAGTTTGATAAAATCTTATTCTAACCATCCTATATCTATGACCGGAGGAAGTACATAGAAGCACCGGGGCATAGTTTGGAACAAAGGAATTGAATTTTGTCCCGCACTTGTGTAAATACTAAATGGTGTTATTTTTTAGCTAACATTTTTTGGGCACGCCATAAAATTTTAAATGAGTCCAGCCATGTCAGGAAAATATCCTTCTGAATAATATATGGCTGCCTTTTTTAGGGCTTGAGAATTATTGTCACTTGATGAAGAGGCCTCTTTCCCAATTGGCAGGTTTTACTAGGCCCTGTAGTGGCTCCTGAACCTGACAGGACGGAAAACAAATTAGAGCCTCAAGTAAACAAATTAGGAAGGTTAGATGTCAAGCAAACAATGAGATTTATAGGAGAAGAAAGGCGAGGCCACAACATCGTTGTGAGAAGGACTACTTAGCGAAAAATACTATAGTTAACATGATGATGTGAGTCATAACGGAGGGGTTAGGGGAGATGGGAACAAAGCTAGCCAGATGTTCAAAGTACATGCAGTTCTCAGCTAGCTGTGGTTAAAAAGGCACTGTTTACCTAAACCAGAGAAAAAGGAAGAAAATGACATTAATTAATCAAATATGTGAAGGTGGTAGTTTGTGTGCTGTGCTAATTGATCCATTAGCAAGTGGAAAAGGAGTACCTCAACTGTTTTTTATAGATTATCACTCCCTCTATTCTTCTGTATTAATTTGTACCCTAAAAATGTTTGGTAGTCAATGTTTTACAACGTATTCAACATATTTTTTAAATAATAAACAAGATTTTCAATATAAAAATAAATAGATGTTTCTTAGCATTTTTAGACTAAGAAGTATAAGTATACACGGTCATCCAACTTTATGTGTTTGGCCAGATCCTGCAATTTTCCCTTCATCGGAAAACTAGACAATTATTCTCCACAAATATAAACAATTAAGTTTTGAGGTCAAATTATTTGATTTTATTTTCTTTACTCATACATGTAGTAAAGTTCTCATCATTATAGACACGAATGATTATATCACTTTACAGTTTTGGTATCACAAAGAAACCAACTAACTAGTTTAGTGGTAATATTCAGACTTTCTTGATTGATCTTTCTAATGGGTCACATAAGCAATCATATTTCAAAAGACTTGTTATTTAAGGTGTGTTCTTACTTCTTGGTACAACCATTTAGGAAATTGGAGATTTAGTACAGAAAGTCCAACAAGAAATTGGAGATGGTACCTTTCTTTTAGCGAAAGGAAACAACTTTCCCCTGTTTACCTTTTGTGTGCTATCCATCACTCTTTCTATTTATCAAAAGAGAAAAAAATTAAACTATACGTTTCTTGCTAGTATTGTTTAAGTAATCCTTTTCGGAGAAACTGCTCATGTCAATTTTTATACGTCGAGCCATTTACACTGAACTTTTCTACTAAAGAGTTGTTCTGGTGGGGCATCCATATTGTTGCTATTATTTTTTAGGTTTAATCAGAGGTGTGATAAAAATCAATAATTGTGACGTTTAACTGAAGAAAACTAAATCAGTCCCAACAACGAAGATCATAAGTAGCCATCACACGAGTTCACAACCGGGCCACATAACATGCGGTTCAAGCCTTGAAGTGAACTCGTGTTATCTCCTCCATCAAAATTAATTCAAGCGTAAATATCTCTAGTTGAAAAAAATCTATATGTCCACTACTTTTACTTTTGATTAGCTGATGATCTTAGTCAAACTCATAAGGTGCGTAACCATCGTGGCTCAAAGCTTTCAGGTGTTTCTCACTTTCTCTTTCAGCAACCAAAAAAAGAAAAAAAAATTAACAAAACAATGCAGAGCATTTTGATAATTTTTTTTCTTTGGTGTGATTGGTGTCCGCGTTTATAACAACGTTGCCTTCCTGTTTGCATCAATATCGCCCTGTCACGCATTCAATTAACTTTTTGTTACCTAGAAAAAACACTATTATGTTTTCTTATTTTCTTTTTTTTTTTTTGCATGTAGCAATCAAACAAAGCAGGATGGCTATTTGTTTGTAGATACGAGGTAGGAAATCAAGTCAAGCATATATAGCCAATACAGTAAAAATGTTTATTAATTCCATAATGGAGAATTATGTATCTTAACTTTTCTACAAAATTTGAGATCTAGGTCATGTATTATTATCCATATTAAATGAAGGCAGCACGGATTGTACTATAGCATTTTGGGCAACTCAACTTCTTTAAGCTTGGAAATGAATTAGGAGTACATCATTTCATTGAAGAACAAGATAAAGTTAAAAAAGCAAAAAACAATCCGGTACGTGTGCCTAATCCTCCCGCAAGTTACACGCACAAACACCCAATTACTAAACAATATAAACAGGACAAAATGTCCTTCGATTCGTTCGCTAACATCCTAAACTAAAGGAAGTACTACTAGACATATTCAGTCTAGCTAACCTACCCAAATCTTCTCAGCCAGTACTTGGCTTTCCAACACCAAAATTTGTCCCTTATTGATCGTTTTCTTCTTCACGTTTGATTTATCTATTTCAAATACAATATATATTTTATAAGTTGAGAAAACATGTATTCCAATTTCCTATTATTTATCACCCTTGCACTTCACTCCTGGCTCCCATTTCTCATCACGCTATTGCATTTACCAAGTTTTTTTTTCAAGTAAAAACGCTACCATTGAATCATCATCATATATGGAATCTTATACTGGCCACCTTGCTTCAACCGTCCGCACAAATGTCATTGTCCAACCCAAGTAACAAATTGACACGACCAATCACCTTTTACTTCTTGAGAAAATTTAATTTCCCATATTTGTTTTTTTCCATTAAACCTTAGCTACCAACGGGAATACATAAAACAAAACCATAAATTCATATCACCCACTTCTTAAATCTTCAGTTACAGTATTATTTTCCATGTCAACCCAATGAGGCAAATGTTGGAATCTATTTTGAGGGGAAAAAATCACATTTACATTCCCCACATTTTGAAATTCAAGGCGTGTAAAAATAACGGTCTTAGATAATACAAGACGTGTAAAATTAACGGTCTTAGATAGTTTTACCTTGGTTATCTTCTCCTATTTCAATACTCGTGTGTTTATAGAGGTGAGTGTGCGTGCGTTGTGAGTTTCTACGTTGTGCCATGTAATTTTAAAAAAAAAAGACGTACATAATTATAGATAGAGTAGCTTCTGCTGACTTTTTTTTAAGACAAACATGTAACCTACTCCTGTCTAATTCCTGCGCTTAACTAAATTTATCGAATTGTAAAACAGAAGGATTATCTCCCCATGGTTGATACTGTAAAATGTTCTAATTAACATCACTTTAGAAAGATCAAAGAGAAAGAAAAAGGCACTCTTCTCTCCTCTGGGACAGCTTGACAGCCACACTAACCAGAAGGAGGCCACACCCACACACAACCTGGCTGGAAGAATCAGCGGCAGAGCTGCACAACACAACACAAAGCCAAAGGCAGATTACAAAACGAGTAGAAGTAAAAACAACAGCAAAAGGCCCCAAAAAAAATTAAAAAAAAACATTGGAAGAGAAAAAAAGACGCAGAAAAATCCCCCACTTCACTCTAGTACTCTGCTTGCTTCTCCGCATCCATCAACCACTCACCCAGTTTTGCTGCTGCTGCTGCTCGTCTTCCTCCTCTTCCTCCTCGCAGGCGGCCGCGCGCGTCGATCCGGAGGCCGCTCGCCGCCGACGCCGCCGCCGCAGCAGCAGCCGGAGTGGGAGCGGGGGCGGCGAATCTGGAGCCGAGGGGACCTGCATTGCCGCGGGAGGGCAGCGGGTAGCTAGATCTCCTCCCCCCTGTGCCTCCTTCCTTGGACGGCCGCGGCAGCGGCATGGTGGCTGCTGCGGCAGCGGCTACCGCGCCAGATCCGGCGCACCCCGCGCGCCCGCCGCTCACGCCGGCCCTCGACAAGCCCAACTCCGCCCCCGCCGCGCGCCGCCCCGCGCGCTCCAGCAAGCCGGTCTCGTCTCGCTACCTGTCGGCGGCCGCGTCGCCGACCTCCTCCACCTCGTCGTCGTCGTCGACGTCGTCGTCGTCCGCGCCGTCGTCGAACCGCCGCTCGCTCTCCGCGCAGCGCGCGAGGTCGTCCACCCCCCCGCCGCAGCACTCGACGTCGCCCACCCCGGCCCCCGCGGCGGCGGCGGCGGCGGTGGCGGTGGCTTCGGGGGGCTTGACGGCGACCACGATGCGGAGCCTCTCGGTGTCGTTCCAGGGGGAGTCCTTCTTCTACCAGACGTCGCGCGCGCCGCGGGCGGCGTCGCCGTCGTCCCCAGGCGGGCGGCGCGGGCCCACGCCGGAGCGGCGGAAGAGCGTGTCGTCGGTGCCCGAGGCCGAGAACACGCGGCCGCAGCACCGATGGCCGGCGGCGAAGCCCAAGGCGTCGGACCCCCTCGCCCGCAGCCTCGACTGCAGCCTGGACCGCAAGGACTCCATCCTGGCTGCCGTCCACCTGCTCCGCCGCTCCATGGCGTTCGACTCCACCACATCCCTCTCCCCTTCGGACCCGGCCGCCGCCGCCGCCGCGGCCCACGACCTCTCTGCATCCTCCGACACCGACAGCGTTTCATCCGGCAGCAACTCGGGGGCCGGTGATCCCCCACGCCGCGGCATCAGCGTGCCGGCGAGGTTCTGGCAGGAGACCAACAGCCGCCTTCGCCGGCTTCCAGAACCAGGGCTACCGCTACCATCATCCTCTGGCAGGAGATCGTTCTCAGACAGTCAAATGTCACCGAGACTGCCTGGCCGCTCTCCATCTCCAAGCCGCGGAAGCAGGGGCATGGCGAGCCCAGCAAGAGGGCGGAGTGGGGAGGCATCACCCAATGGTCACACAATGCAGGCGCCGGCAAATGCGCCATCTATCATCAGCTTTGCTGCAGAGGTGAGGAGGGCGAAAAAGGGGGAGAACAGAATTGAGGAGGCACACAGGCTGCGGCTGCTCGATAATCGACATTTGCAGTGGCGATGCATCAATGCTCGGACAGATGCAGCTCTCCTGGTGCAGAGCTTCAATGCTGAGGTAAATTATGTTGACCTATCTGGTTTTAAGCTATAACATTCCAAAATCCTCTTACTGTTGGTTACTCATAGTATCCAATTATCCACTCTATGTATAAAACAATTAATGTTCTACTAGTTTCACTTTTATTATTGTGTTTATTTCACTTCCTAAATGCAAATGTGTGGGGGTACATTTGGGCCTCTGGGGTATCTGTAATCAGCAACTGCACATTCTGTTTCATTATTTGTTTGAATTCAGAACAATTTACAACTCAATGGGGGTGCTTGATCAATATGATTACTGAGGTCATAGTATTTGTTATATCTCGCAGACGAGGAAAGAATACAAAAGTTCCATTTTTATTGTGAGATATTAGTCTTTGAGGACTGTAGAAGCCTGATAAGTAAGTTGGTATTTGTAGACTACTAAAAAGGTTGGGACTGGTTAGCTGCTTATTTACTAGTCCTCACGATAGTTGCATTGTAAACTAGGGTGTGTTATGCTGCAAGCGTTGCATGCAAATCTTGACTAAAGGAGAACCAATGGAGCTGCTAATCACTTGCTCCCTGATTTTGAAGAATTGAGTTTTGAATATTCACCTTCAACCCATACCTATCGATTGTTTATGATCCATTCAGAAGTCCCATGAAGCGTATTAATAAAAATAGCACTGTGGGGTTCAGTGCTTGTAGTGGACTTAGTTTGGTGGGCAAATGGGCATTTGGGTGTCATATTACGAGAGAATCTACTCTATATTGTATATAGATAAATTTCAGTAGTCCTTTAATTACTTGGTTCACATCAAATATACTGAAACTGTAAGATATTTTCACGTCCGCAGTCATGTCTTGATTATTTTATTTAAACCATTTTTTTCTGTATGTACCACTTCAAACAACCAGTGCTGTAGCGCATTTCAATCGCATTCAGTAGCTTTAGGGTGTGTTTAGTTCATGCCAAAATTGGAAGTTTGATTGAAATTGGAACGATTTGACGGAAAAGTTGGAAGTTTGTGTGTGTAGGAAAGTTTTGATGTGATGGAAAAGTTTGAAGTTTGAAGAAAAAGTTGGGAACTAAACCAGGCCTTACATTTCAAAGAAATGTTATGGCAGATTTGCCCAAGGAGACTTCTTTTAGTATTAGTGTGAATGGTTGGACCCATACCCCTTTGTTTCTGTACTGTTAGGTTACAAAAGGATACTGGCGCGATGTTGCTAGGGATGTTGGCAGTGTCAGGATTTAGATGACTTAACTCGTAAATCGTAGTCTAGTGACTTGTCAACTTTATTGCACTATTAGCGGCTGATAACTTGATTGAAATTATTTCTTGGTCAATAAAGTCATCTGGGATATATCACCTAGGTCCTTGTACTGCCTTTGATTAATGAGAGAAACAGCCTAGATACCAAATTTTACATTTCTCCATCTTTGGTTCCAATTTGGCAATGCCTTTGAATCAAATGTATTGTTTTAGATTCCAGATATGGATTTATGTGAAGGTGCACTGTTTTGTTATTTTTCTTTGATAGCTGTGTACATTGGAATAAACCATTTGTTTTCAAATGTATTTGTTCTGACACTTAATACATTGAGCTGTATGCTCCATAGAATGAAAATCTAAAAAGGGTTGAGCTACTATTCTAACTAATGTTGCTTATTTCACTATTTTTCAGAAAACTCTGCACAGTGCATGGAAGGAAATATCAAAATTACGAGACAATGTCAGTTCTAAAAGGAGCAAACTCCAGCTTCTAAAACAAAAGCTCAAACTGTTCGCTATTCTTAGAAGACAGGTAAAAGAGATTATATCTATTATTGTTTTAGCTATTTATGCAGTTTGCACTAGGATTTGGTAGCATTTCTGGCAAAGTTGATTGTATCTAAGTGCTTCTATTTGACATGTTCAGATATACTATCTAGACGAGTGGTCTCATATTGAAAAACATCATTCAAGTGCTTTGTCAGCAGCAATCGAAGCACTGAAGGCTAGTACTCTCCGTCTTCCAGTTGTTGGTGGTGCGAAGGTTAGGATTTTTTTCATAATACAATATAGTTATCTGATATGATTTGATATACCCCTTTGGATAGTTTTAATGTTTCTCTCTGAGCAGGCTGATGCCCAAGGTGTGAAGGAAGCTGTTAACTCAGCGGTGGACGTGATGCACACAATGGCATCCTCAATGTGTACTTTGTTGTCTAAGGTGCATATGTCCTATCCTTCTTCTCCTTGATATCTCTTTTATCAAGAATGTAATTTTCATATCTAAATTGCAAAGTACGTAGATTCTTTAGGTCCATCCTGATGGGTAGCTATGGTCATACATAATTGTGTACTCTTCCGGCATATATATTTTTGTAGCTATAAAATCTGAGAGATAAGACAATTTCCTTGTGGCCAATTACCTGAGTGGACAGCTAACAACTGCAAATCTTTCATGAATGATATATTTGATCCAGCGTGCATTCAAATCTATTGAGGTATTTACAGGTTTATGGAAAGTTGGAATCCTAGAATCCCAAGGAAAACATGCCTATTTTTTATGTTTATATCGAACTTGAATCACTGCATTGAATATAAGCTGGCTAACCAGAACCGCGATTTGTCTGTAAACATAAGCTAGGTGTACTGCAGGTGTTTGCCTGTTATGTGAACATTACTTGATTTGTAAGGCCTTGGACAATGAGGCGACTCTTACATGGGCATGCATTTCATGTAATTCATGGCGTATTTGCTGTGGCAACCTCTGAATCATGTTTTATTGGTCTTCAGGTGGAAGGAACAAGCTCTGTGGTGTCTGAGCTTGCCAAACTTGCAACACAAGAACAAATGTTGTTGGATCAATCAAGAGATCTCTTGTCCATGGTCGCAGCAATACATGTATGGAGAATTTCTGTAATACTTTTATTTGATTGTACCCTTGTATATTGTTGTTTGGCTCATTGTGTTAATTATATATTTGAAAAACAGGTTAAACAGTGTAGCTTGCAAGCTCATATGCTACAACGAAAGCAAAAGCAGAGCCAGACACGGGTGTAGATCAGTTTGTCTTGCCACATTGGTGGTCAACTAACATCACACGGCCTCATCTTTTCACACTGGAGACTGTGCTACAGGTAATAAAAGCTGTAACCATTTGTTGGGTGTGAAGTGTGTCCTAATCTGCTTTGATCTCACCGAGTGTAGCTGATTCATGTAATTTTTTGAGTGCATATCACCATAGAAATGGCCCCTTTTACCTGCAACAGTTGCTGCAGTGGATGTATACAGAGAACCTAGTGTTGACCAAGGATGAGCTTTCTGTAGATATGAAAAAAGCTTGTCGTTTGCGTGCCTAGCTTTGCTGTGTTGCGTGCCTCGCGTGTTGATGATTGGTGTTTTGTATTCTGGAATGGAAACAGTTGTTAGTTTGATACGGGTGTTTTCATGGCAAATTAACATGCAAGTTGTTCATTCTAACTTGCTCCGGGGCAGTATACAGACGTTATATGTATGTCTCATGCTTATCCTGGAACTAATTCGTAGCGCACTAAACCTTGTTGTGATTGCTGTTGTTGAGTCGTGCCTTGTGCGACGTGTATTGGTCCTTAGTTTTGGGGATTCCGAGAAGTCCCTAGAACACACAATTCACCTACATGTTGAACTACACTGAAATCCAAAATTTCATTTTGAGACGTGCAATGCAGAGTCTAGACTTGGTTGGCGGCGTGAGGGCGAGGAGATTTTTTTTTAATTTTTAAACTTTTTTAATTTTAAAAATAAACCATTCTAAAATTTATTTTAGATCCGAACTTTTTGGCCATATCGGTCGAACTTTTTGGCCACATCAACTGAGCTGGAGTGGCAAAACAATATTGTTACACTGGTGTTATTTAGTTACACCGATCTCGCTGGCGCTGGCGTGATTGTTATTTGGTCACATCGGTCTGGGCATCGCATGATAAAAATGTCACGTCCGCTGTAGATGGCGTATCAATGTTGTTTTGCCACGCTAGATAGACTGACGTGGTAAGGTTCAGATTTTGAAAATAAAATTTGGAAGGGTTTATTTTTAAAATTAAAATAAAAAAATGTTCAAAAAAAAACTTTTAAAGAAAAATCCGAGGAGATGAGAAGATTACACGTACCGTAAATGGAAGGCCCTGGTTCTGTGGGAGAGCGAGAGGTTTCGGTTGGCGCATCGTCACATCATCGGCGATGGTACATGTCGCGGAAACCAACCCGCCACCGTCAAGTCAGGGCGCCCCCGTTTTGCATGCCCACGTACGGATGACGCAGGCGCCGCGGCAGCAGCCGCCTGCATCCACCAACTGCCTGGGTGCCTCCGGTTGAGAGCGACGGGAACACCACGAGGCGAACAGGCGAGCCGACCAGCGCGCAGCACCCCCTCGTGCTCTCGTTGGCGCAGGCCACCGTCCCCCCGGTGCGTCTGGTAGGAGGCCGTCGCTGGCGGCGGCGGGACAGCGGTTGGGATACTGGGAATCCGGGATGTGGCGTGTGCATGTGCCACAGCCGCCGGTGCAGATTTGTGGGCTCTGCATGCAGCGGCCACACACCGACGCTGCGTCACAACTCAGTAGTTGGGTTGGGCCAACAGAATGAGTTAGCCCGGTTTGGATGGTCTAGGCCTTGAGCTTCAACGTCTTCAGCTCGATCTGGGATGGCTGCAGTCCCCCTGAATTCTGGCATTGTCAAGTTTGCTTGCCAGCAGGCATTAGCTTTACATCTTCAGCTAGGTTCACCGTTTTCACAATCCAAACCTACAAAGTTTCAGGTTCCTCTAGAAAAACAAATCCACGGTCCCGAGTCTTCCTTCCCAAGTGGTATTTTTCTGGTGGACGGCATTACATATTGCCGTAGCAACCGCGCAAGTCCACTCTTTCTGCCTTCAAGTTTTTCCTCCTTTCACTCAAGTGTTCAGCACTTCAGCAATCCTCGTAAACATTTCTGGACTGTGAGATCAGAGTATCAGACAGGTCTCCATGCCAACGACCGAATGTCTGTGCATATAGTAGACTTTGATTCGAGTAGACTGCACAATGTCTATGCATAGAGTAGACTCTGATTCGAGTAGACTTCACCACTCTCAAGCTCCTTTAAAAAGCATTCAAAATTGAGAAAGGAAGACTTACAGAGAGACCTGGACTACAAAAACGTGGCCTTGCGTTGTGTGCACTTTTTTGACCCACCTATCCTACATTCTAACAATTTGTCCAAAAGAAGCATTCAAAGATTTGATCTGAAGTTCATGTCAAGAATTATACTGGAAGTACCTGTAGACTGAACATTTTTTTTCTGATCTAGTCGTAATGCATTAGCTTGATCATCATTACAATCGCTCAATCAGTAGACCAGAGCATCGACGCTCCAGAAAATTGGCATCCCAGTCCATTCGGCGACTCGCCATCTCAAATATCTGCCTGTCCGTTGTCTTTATTACGAGTCTTGTCTTGCTTCCGTCAGTTGAGCTGAGCTGTTTCTGAAGAAAATTCAGCTGAACTGTTTTGGCTTTGAGCCACACCTCCCTTTTGTCCCGAGGATGGAGCAAGTAACACAACGGCAACAGCATGGTGTACCTGCCAATATGCCATCAGCCCATCACAATATGCCATTTGGAAATATCAGAGCAGCTCCATTGGGAGTACTGAACCGCAGAAGTTACTTCGTCCAAAGCAACGTGTTCTGTTATTTCTGTTGCTGCAACGAACTGATGACGGAGACGACACCTGGAAAGCGTTGGAAGCGGTTTGCATGCTTGCATGGTCGATCGACCCGGTTGAGCTCGTGCCTACCCTGCTTTCCTCTCATCTGAACAAACCCGTTGCAAGTTAGCCTCAAGCGACTGACCATGGTGATAATTGATGACCTCCAAACGGCAATTAAACGACCATATATAACCTGTCACAATCACGCATATCTCTGTTGCTGGAAGAATCCGAATCCGAATATGAACACAGTGAGTACGATACAAATACAAATGAACGCAAAGTCGATATAGAAACAACAATGAACTGGCTAGTACTAGTAGTAGCAAACAGCACATGGAAGATGGAAGTACACTTGCTTGGAGATAGATATCCCCCCGTGTGGCTCCCACGATTGTACGCTTTCACGATCCGTGCGTGGCCGCATTGCCCATATGAAGGTGCATGCATCCAGGACTTGACAGCTGACATTCCAATCAGCTTTGACACACTGCAGCGTTTTGCGAGAGATCGAGTTTGGCACCATTGGTCCCCTACGTATACGGGCGTGCATTTACTTGATCTAGCTAGCCAGGTGCCTGTGGGTCAGTCTCTGTGTGTCGATCAGTATCTCTAGCTCGCTATGTGCCAAAGCCGGCATGGCGAGAGTTGGAGACATGCGCATGAGCCGTTGTATCCATCTTGCTTGCTGCCTGGGACCATCTTTGGCAAGGATGCACCTGCCCAAGCTAGCTAGGCGCATGCGTGCGGGCGTGCGGATGCATGTACAACTTCGCCACGACTCTGATCGCTGCTTCTATCCTCTCTCTGTGTGTGTTTGTGTCGATCTCTGCTGTTTCGTCTCTGTGCGCTCGTCACGGCACTGTTTTTCTCTTTTGAGGTGGCGGCGCCTCTGATTACATCGCTTGCGCTTGTTGCTTCTGATATCAATCAGCTCTCGCGCCTCCATACCTCTTGTCGACGGCGACACGCGCGGCCCGGCCGGAGAGAGCAAGCTGAGTGAGCCGGCGTTGGCTTTCTCACGGCTCGATCGGCCGTGTCACCATCAGAATGTACAACACGGAAGCCTGCGCTGTGCATGCGGGGCTTTGGGCTTCCCCTCCTGTCATGGCAAGCATAATTTCTCTGGTGGACATGCTCGTGACAACTACGTCCACGTACCACCAGCAGCTAGCAGCTATAGCTACCACTATCGAGTATAGCAGTACAGTACTAGTAATATCTTGGGTCAACTGTCTGAGAAACTTGATCTCACCTTTCATTTCAACGGAGAGAGCAGCCACGTACGTGCACTTGGGCCGAACAGGTGTAGTGGCACTACTATAGTACCAAAAGTTGGGGTGTCAAGCGTGCTGATGATTGACTGATTTTGCTGTAGCATTGTCGGTCAAGATCGATAAGAATACTGTACTGGTACATTCCCAGCAGTTGGGGCCCATGCATGTATAGGGGGGGGGGGGGGTGGGGGGCAACTGGTGGTGGCCTACTGCGCCGCCGCCTCTCCATACCTCCCCGTCAGTTCCTGTGTCATGTACGGTGCATCTTCTTGATTGCACCCCTCGACGGTTAATGCACCGGCGGCGGGCTGTCTGATGATCAGTTTACCACATCGGGTTTTACCTCATGTTACCGATCGAGATCAGGTTACGTAGCTTGGCTTGTCGTTTGTAGTACAAGCTCCTATGCCCAATCCGGGACGCACAAACAAAGGGGTTATGGACTCAAACCGCATGATCGATCGGGTTGCGGATCCGTGCTAAAGCCAAGCTCTCAGGTGTGGGTCATTTCACGTGACCGGACCGCGAAATTGAAATCACACACCACCGTCGTCGCCAAAAACCGCTCCACGCTATCAGACACGGCTCGCCTTTCCACTGTGTAAAGTGGGGCCTTTTCCCCTGGTTTGTACGGCGGAAAAAACAGCGCGCGCCACCGAAACGATTGGCCACACACACCCCCCACCCACAACAAAACCCACCCCCGCGCGCCGTGCCTCCGCCGTACGTCGCGTCGTTACGTCCCGGGTAACCACCAGCTGTTTCGCGTCTCGCGCGCTCGAGTCGGGCGACTGACGCGTACACGCCCCGCCTTGTGATCATGAGCCGCCGATGACACGCGCCGCCCGGCTGGGCGCCCAACCAGGAAACGACGAGAGATCACCGAGCGCGCGGCGGCACGTCGTTTTCGGCGCGGATACGCGGTCGCGGGGGCGGATGCTGTTGCCGTTAACTGCTGGGGGGCCGGGTGTCCCGTACTCCCGTGGCGCGGAGCCGAGCGAGCGCCCGAGCGCGCGTACGTCGGCATCAGATTCGTGCATGCGCGGCGCTTGCCTCGCTCGCCTCACATGTCCTTTCGCGAGTGGTAGCCCGTAGCTAGGGAGGGCGCGATATACTCCTATCGAACAGTAGAGGCCGTAGGCATGTCGTCGTGACAAGGAGGACGTACGATGCGGTTTGTTTTCGACTACTGTTCAACGGTGCATTTCTGGTGATCGATCTAGTCACATCTATGCTCATCCACTTACAGACAGGATCGCTTTTCAGGGAATTATTTGAGCAAGATTTCTACACTACTGCTTTACTACTTTTCGGTCATGGCCTCATTGGAGCTCCGGTGTTTCTGTGTCACCGAAAGATTTGTGCATATATATTAGCTTGTACACCTAGTGCCCTAGTTACTGCATCAGTCTGTGGGATGCAGATCGTCTGCAGTACTGCTCATTGATATATGGATCCCACAGCCTCTTAGGTCCACATGTCAGTGAGCAGTACTGCAGGGAATATCAATTGCATTCTGTTGCTAAGGTTCAGATCAATGATATTAGACTTTGTTAAGGTGTAGAATGCTAGATAAGTGCGAATGAATACGTGCAGGTTTAGGGCAAAATGTCATGGTAGCTCGCCCCCTGTTCCGCGAAGCTTTTGGTCTCTCGATAACTCTCGATCTGAAACGCATATAGGGCCGGGTGCATTGCACAACACAGCACAAGGCACGCATGTGCATTTGGCATGAGTGTGAGAGATGTATCCGGGGCATCTCCTCGAGCTCTCTTAGAAAATTGTGCAGTGGTCAGGGATCAAACTATCCAATTAGAATTAGGCGTGGCTTTATACTGTCCATAATCCTTTCGATTGAGAAATTCACGCTCCATTTAGGATAGAACAGAAAAATAGGGAAATGTTTCCCCACTTGGCTCCCTTCATCCGACAAGTTGTATCGCCTAACTAATAACCGTGTTTGTATCGGCACAAATTGACGCAGAAAAGGATAGATTAATCCCATGCAAAATGGATGGATCGATCCACAAGTTGAGAAGAACGCTAGCTCGAACAGTTTGCTAAAATGCTGTTACTGTATTCTAACTTTGCCGGATAAGCTTAACTATTGGAGAGTTGGGCGCCTGGGTGGGCCCTATCTCCCCTAGGAGAGAGATCGCACTGCCGCTTTTGATTTTTGACTGACTCGGAAATCCATTCCCTCTGCAACGGAAACGTCATGGTAAAACCGACCACGGTTAGTGTTGCAAATCTTTGTAACGCCACCAGTGGCCGACCTTTTGTCTGATCACCGCATACAATTATCGATCTTTTTCACAGGTGGATTCACAAACCCAATCATGTTAACAGGGTAATTAAAAGCTAAGCAAAAGAGCTTCATCGTGGCAGGATTTTTAAGCCTCAATCCACAGCAAAAGAAAAGATCCAGTGGTGCTGTGGTGCATGCATGCACGCAGTTAATTTCTCCCCACCACTCCAATCATACGCTCCACTCCCAGCCGACGCAAGTTAATTCATCGCACAACCCATAATTAAATTGAACCAATAATAACTGTTTTTTTGATGGAGTCGTGGATGGATAACGCCACGCAGATAAAATCTTTTTTTTTTAACTTCATCGATGCCTTTTTATTCACCCAGCAGGTTTAGTGATATCACGAACCACAAAGGCATTTACAAATTCTGGAAGGAGTCGATCCAAACGATGGATTGACCCGGGTCCCAACTAGCGCCTATTTTGGCAAGATCATAGGCAACACTATTACAGCAACGGAGAACATAAGCGATATCGACATGGATAAAATTCAGCTGAATAACGCCACGCAGATAAAATCTTGAGAAGGAATCACAAAGCCAAACGGCCGCCGAATTAACGGTTGGATCGATCTCGGCCTCTCCTTTTTCTGCTGCCACCTCTGCTCTTCATATGCTTCTTGCCAATTGAATGAATTGATCGATCGATCGATGTTGCTGCAACTTGCATACATGGCCGATCATATGCGCCCGCGCGTATATGCGCGCACTTTCCCTCTCCCGTCAACCGCGCCCACATGATTCAGGGGAGAGAGAGAGAGGGCTCAGAGAAGGAAGTGCATTCGCGCGATATCTGCGTGATTACGTCCGTGCGTTACAACTTTTTAAAAAAATCTCACAGTTTTATTGTTATCCCTGCGAGAAAATAGAAGGCCGGAACCCCACTGCAGCCGGGTGCCTGTATATATATATGCTACATTCCTATGCAGAGCAGCAGAGTCGAGAGAGAGAGAGAGAGAGAGAGAGAGATCGATACGGTTGCGAGATTGATCGATCGATCGATCGATCGGATATATGCCATGATGAGAGATGAAGAGGAGGAGGAAGGGGTGGTGATCATCATCCGGGAGTACGACCCATCGAGAGACCGCGCCGGCACGGAGGCCGTCGACCGGGAGTGCGACGTCGGCCCGACCGGCGGCATGTCGCTCCACGCCGACCTGCTCGGCGACCCCGTCGCCCGCATTCGCCACTCCCCTGACTACCTCATGTTGGTACGTACTACGATCATATCGTGTCAGTACGTACGCTGTTTTGGTGGTTGTGTTTTCATTTTGTAGTGTGTGTTGTGTCTTGGGATGGAAAGGTAGCTGAGACGACGTCGGGCGCCACCGGCGGACGGATCATCGTCGGCATCATCAGAGGCACCGTGAAGTCGGTCGCCACCGGCAAGAGCTGCCCGGGCGCCCCCGCCGTCGCCAGCGTCGGCTACATTCTCGGACTCCGCGTCGCGCCGAGCCACAGGTAACAGCAGCGGACTTGGTCGTTTCTTGTGTCCGCGGAGGCGCGGCGTCGCGTGGCGTGGCGTATCGTTTCGGGAAAGGGAAATGGCGCGTGATTCGCTCGGGGGGTTTTCCTGGCTGTGTGTGCAGGAGGATGGGGTTGGCGCTGCGGATGGTGCGGCGGATGGAAGCGTGGTTCGAGCGGATGGGAGCCGAGTACGCGTACATGGCCACCGACAAGTCCAACGAGGCGTCGCTGCGGCTGTTCACGGTGCGGTGCGGCTACTCCAAGTTCCGGACGCCGTCGCTGCTGGTGCACCCCGTGCACGCGCACCGCCGCCGCGTCCCGCGCCGCGCGGCCGTGTTCCGCCTCGGCGCCCGCGACGCCGAGCGGCTGTACGACGGCAGGTTCGCGCACGTCGAGTTCTTCCCCGCCGACATCGGCGCCGTGCTGGGGAACCAGCTCTCCATCGGCACGTTCCTCGCCGTCATCGACGACGACGGGAGGTGGCGCCACGGCGAGTGGCGCGGGGCCGAGCGCTTCCTGGCGTCCCCGCCGGCGTCGTGGGCGCTGGCGAGCCTCTGGGACTGCGGGGGCGTGTTCCGCCTCGAGCTGCGCGGCGCGTCGCGCCTTCGCCGCGCCGCGGCGGCCGCGACGCGCGCGCTGGACCGCGCGGCGAGGTGGATGCGCGTCCCGTCCGTGCCGGACTTCTTCCGCCCGTTCTCCGGGTGGTTCGTGTACGGCCTCGGCGGCGACGGCCCCGACGCCGCGGTGGCCGCCGAGGCGCTGTTCGCGACGTTCGTCAACATGGCGCGCGGCAGGGCGGCCGCCGTGGCCGTCGAGGTGGCGGCCTGCGACCCGCTCCGCCGCCGCATCCCGCACTGGCGCCGCCTCTCGTGCACCGAGGACCTGTGGTGCATGAAGCGGCTGGGCCGCGTCGGAGAATCGGACGGCTGGGATTGGGCCAGGTCACCTCCTGGCCTCTCCATCTTCGTTGACCCCAGAGAAGTGTAAGTAAAAGAAATCAGCGGCGACCAGAGTCAAGAGTGTAGCTAGACCGTACGATCTAAACCCTTTTCTTTTTTCTCTTCTGCATCTCGGTATTTTTCTCCTTTGGTTTAGGTGAGCCTTTTACACGGTTCGTTTTGGGAGGCAATCGAGTTTTTGTAGGATACACTGCCCTAATTATAATCGGAAAAAAGCCGGAATCGATAGCAATATCGAGAGCTCTTATCTTGTTGATGCTGCTATCCGTAATGATTTGTGCCGTGACGGCTGACAGAATACGTGGCCCGCCCGAGCTCTAACATGGAAATGCAGAGATTGTGTGGTGGGGCTCTATAACCTTACCAAACCTTCGTATCAAATCAAGCACTTTACTAAAACATCTAACTTGCCATTTTGCCAAAATGTTGCGGTGTCAATAGTAGAAAATCAGGCACTAACATCTTCTTCACCTTTACACAGTACACAGTAACATTAATAATCATAAAAATACAGCCAAATTACTGATGTTGCTAGAACAAGTGATCAACTGATTATCCTGTACTGTAGAGTACATGCTGATGGCTCATGTTCGCCATGCCGTTCGAGTTTCTGCACTGTGCAACAATGGTCGAATGACCAGCATCAGCGATGCATGCGTGCGTGATGCATTTGCTGATGTCTGATGATGGGGTTTTCGTTCTGACGATTCCAATCCAAGCTTCTGTTCCGCTCTTTTGACCGGCAGGCAGGCAATATGGTCGTTCGCTCGGTGTGTACTGTGCGAGACCACTGTGCAGTGCCGCGTGTTGTACGATTCCATGTGAGCTAGTAGTGTTCGACTCATGCAGAATTGCATATGTGCAGTGGCTCTGCACCGGCACCGCTAGCTGCTTCGTTTACGCAGAGGCGAATTTTTTTTTTCAAATGGTGCAATGAATAATGTCGTCGACTCGTCGTCGCTTTGCAGCGACGTACTGTAACAGGGAAAGCCAATCGATCGGGGTACTGGTAATAACTGTAGTACATGAAGCACAATGATTGGAATTCTCGTGGTATAATAATTCAATTTGTCCGTTGCATTCGGCTACATATCAGATCGAGCGACAATGATGACAGGTGCAACGAAATAGTCCTGTTAAGAATCTCAGGATTAAAATGAGCTCATTTCTTCATATCAGTACTACTCTTACATTTCTCAGCAGACAAAGCAGATTATCCAACCTCGTTGACTTGCAATCTGATCATGTTGGCATCACTGATTGCACGCACGAATTGATGTTTGTGTTACGCTTTACTACTACTCCCTTAATCACATTGGTACTTACTCATTGGACACACACAAATTGGGTGTTGCACTATATTAGGTGTTGCACTATAGGTATCTCCAATGTTTATTACCATGAGTAGTATTAAGGTGGGTCCCACTATTCTTATGGTTATTACTACAATGTCTGAAATAAGAGTAAACTTTAAGATGGATCCCACAATGTACTATTCTAGTACTTCTTTTATCAGCCATGCCAATTTTTCATCCTCACATTCATTTTACCCTATTATTTTATTGCTTGTGGTCAAGCCATAAGCTTAAATTTTTCTTTTACATTTAATGTCTTATGGCTTTGTTTCACAATGTATATGGTCACTATAAAACCTTATGGCCTCTTCTTATGGCCACATTGTGGCTGCCCTTAGGTGGCTAAGTTAAGTACGTGTGTACCCAGATTGAGTGGATAAGGAAGAATCAACAAAGCTCATGCAGCCAGCCTACGCTTTGCACCATTCGACCCCTGCATTTTCACAGGGTATATGACCATATGTCCGTTCAGTCTACTCTATCATAAAAAAAAAATCTAGAACTAAATGTGACACATTCTATTACAATAAATCTATAAATCTAGATAAAGATATATCTAAATTTATACTATTAAAATGTGTCACATCAGTATTATATTAGTTTTTTATGAGATAAAGGGAGTACTAGGCAGCAGGCCAGCAGCTAGCATCTGCTATTACTTGAACTGTCGTAGTTTCAGCATTTGGCTGTTGGTGAGTTGATCCAAATGGCCAAGAGCCCAAGACCGAGGCATGTATGGATGCATCATGCATGCCAGGGTGAGATAAACCGAAAGCTCATTGGTCATTGCAGATTTGGGGGCACGTCGTCTCGCCATGCTCTCGCCGGTCGACAAGGAGTAGACAAAATCGCCGCCGATGAGAAGGACGGGCCCTGGATAATCCGACGACAAGCAAAGTTCAGATCGATTGATACTTCGTCTGTTCTAAAATGTAAGTATTTTTAAGATTGCCACGAGTATTAAGAAAGTATGTGAGAATAATTGAAGAAGGTGTGTGATTGGTTGAAAAGAGAAAGTAGGTGAAAAAGAATAGTTGTGATTGGTTGAGAGGAGAAGGTAGGTAGAAAAATAGCTTTATTTTAAGACAAAGTATTGTGCTAGAAATATTACATTTTTGGACGGAGGTAGTAGCTCGTTTGTGCTTCTTCGCCTGGCACGACACGATTTCGACGGAGTACGTGATGGTTGATGGTACGGAACTTGAACGGAGGCACAATTCTTTAACCTCCTGTTGTTCTGAACAGGACCTGGATTGTGGCGGAGCTTTCGATGTGATGAGATGCGGTACTATGATTGTGCAGGGTATGGGTTGTGTCAGTCAGTCGTTGCAGGCATATCACACTCCTTTGACCTCCTTTGACCTACTGTAGTACTGATTTCTTGGGCATGGATCCTTTGCACGCGTAGCTGGTCAAATCAGCCGTCAGGGGTGTGTCTGGATTTTTCAATCCTTTTAAAAAACATATTCTACAAGTAAACCTCTAAAAATTTTATTCTATAAATAATTTTTTTCACGGCACCAACATTATTGGTACTGCGGTTCCATCCCTCTAACCCCAATAAAAGCTAAATCATTAATGTGAAGGACGGCGACACCAATATCATAAACGATGGCCTATTTATTTTTCTTTCAAAAATGACCTAGCTGTAATAGAAAGAACATACTTGTAATTAAAAATTTACACATAGGTCCTAGGTGCAAGTGTCATTGACCTATTTGTAGAATGAATTAATTTCACCTCCGTGATGATGTGCACCGAGCCACCGACCGGACATATATTCCACCATTGAAAGAGAAGGGAAACCGTATGTGTACCAGTCCTACCCATTTGGAACAGCCATTTGAACAGGTTAGGTGATGGACGGACCAGGAAGACGAGTAGTAGTATGGACTGCAACTTAAACAGTCGTAGCTGCTACTTTGGATCTAAATCTGACGGTAAGGATTAGCTTGTCTACTGTAGCAAAAGTAATGTACCATAAAATATTGTTTAGAGTACTATATAGTGAACACTGTAGTGATTGATCTGGACCATTGATCATAAAATTGAATGGTTAAAAATACATGCAGTTCTAACGTGCAGTCGTAATTCCAGGAAGACATGCGATGCGAAACGAGAAGCGTCAACGGGTCCCAGCAGGTGATCTGCAAGTGCAAGCCAGACAACGTGATTTGCATGCACGATGAAGTGATTTGCAAGCAAGAAGGACGAGGTGAGCCTATGGATCATGGTCCGAGTCAAATCTGTTAGCCGGTCCTACATGGATCAGAAAAGCAATTCAATGGATATGATCTTTTACTGTGTTGGGGGGTACAGTATCCACGTTAATTCTCAAACTAGTGAGTATCTACTATTGGTTGCTGCAAAGCCGAGATATTCTATTCTATTATCTTAAAAAAATCTACTATTGAATGCTAAATGGTATATTAGGGATAGAGATAATTTAATTTGCACTAATTGTTTGCTACTAGCCTCTAACTTCTGGAAAACTATTCACTCGAATGGTTATGAATTTTCTTTAAAAAAAGAGAAGATGTATTAAAAAAATTAAAAAATATGGCATTCCATTCACATCATAATTCCTAGGCGATCAGGATGATCATCGACTTCAGGTCTTTTCTTGAGCAGTTTGTCGTGCGTGAGATTCCTTGATAAGTATAAAAAACATTAGCTGATTTCCTGCAATACATAGGCTAAAAATATTCTCTGTATAGTTATACTATCATCTTGATGTAATTGTCTATGTTCAATAAGACACACTTTAAAAATAGTTCCTTTCCTGCATATGCGTTCACAGGATTATACATTATGCTTCTTACAAAAGTGTGTACATATTCAGAGTACTGTTTCTTTTTTTTTTAACGAAGGAGCACTAATTTTAACTCTCTACAACGATATGCGCTTGACATAGCTGATACTAGTATGACGTACTATACTACAATCCAAATACTTCTTTTTTAGAGGTATAATCCAAATACTAAAAAGGCCCAAGTCGCTCAGGTAACAATGGCTGCAAAATGCCTATTGAGCCCAGTTGCGACAACACTGAACATCACTGGCTACCTTTCAACAAGATATCCCTATTTGGTCCGCAGCTCTGTTATTCTTGGCTCAGGACAGCATTGTCTAATTACAAATTACACAAGACTTTGCACGATCTGAACTGAGATCATACCACTATACCAGTATAAACAGGCTAGCAGCAGATGAATTATGCTTCCAAGTTCTAACAAAGTTCTAAACTTTTTTCATAACAGCTACTAACTTCTGAGTATGGCATAAAACCTCAAAGTAGCAACCAACATTTTCATAGGTTTCATGGCAAGCCTACAATGCTACTAACAAGATCACCTAAAAGCAGACCTCACATTATAACATCCCTACCAACAGACGTGTAAACCATTAGTTCTTGCTTCTATGCAACATTCATGAAGAAAGAAAGAAAAGAAGCAGCAGCTAAGAACCTAACGATCCTTACGAATCCACTGAGAATTCATGCAGGAAGCTAACGCTACACAGCAGCCGGCTTCGTGCTCCTGGAGGGGGTCCTCTTGGGAAGCTCCAGCTTCTGCAAGATCGCACTGTCCGACGAGTCCGAGCTGCTGCGCTCACCGGACTGCCCTTTGCCGGTTGGCACCGTCGTCGTCCTCCGGTGAGCCGCCTTCTTCGGCGTCGACGCGCCGCCTTTCTTCGCCTTGCCGTTGCTGCAATGGCTATTGGCTGCGCCGTCTAGCTTGGTGGTGGTCTTGGTGGACAGGCTGAGGTCTTCCACGACCATGACGCCGTCCCACTCGTCCTCCGTGTTGGTGGTGGCGCCTGACCTCGAGCTCTCGTACGAGCCGACGCAGATGCTGTCGGCTCGGATGGTGACCGCCGCAGAAGCCCTCGTCTGCTCGTGGTACAGCACCTGCACCACGGTCCTCAGTGGCAGCCGCTCGTTCTGCACCGCGTGAGCACACGCGTCCGGTGAGAGTTTCTTGCAGTCCATGAGGCTGCACAGCTTCTTCTTCTCATTCTTTCCCAAGCTTGGGTGCTCCTGCTCATTTAAGAAAAATAAACAGATGTTATACTTAAAAACAAATTTTGTACAACCGTAAATACAGAAGAATTTATATGAGCAATGCATATGAATAAATTCGTGAGTTGAAGCAAAAATGTCACGAGCTGAAATGCATTAGGACTATGTGCTAGATATTCAGTGTGCTTGTGAACATGTCCTATGAGTAGTGCATTTTTGATTGGAAGTTGAAATTTGCAAGAGTACCTTCAGATACATGTCGATGGCGCGGTATAGCCCATCATGAACTGGCCTTGAATTTATCGACATTGTCTCGGCTAGATGAATGAACTTCAAAATGGGTGTATTTGGATCTTTTGCAACCTCAGCAAGATACCCATCAACCACTTTAGCCACTTTGATCATGGATGCACTAGGTGCTTGGACATGACTGTCCACTTCACCACCATTATGTTTCTGAGCATTCTTACTGTCTTGCCTGACAAATTCTTCCACTATACTGAGTATCATGTCAATGTCATAAACTGTGGTCTCCCCATCCACTGTAGGAATCAGAAGATCCGACACGGACGCTTCATCTAGTTGCCGTCCAATACGCTTCATAAGCTCTTTCCTGCAGAGCTCTCCACATTTTAGCAAATTTGTTGCTTTCAGTAGCTTTAAGAGGAAGCTGCATGAAACTGATCCTTTCTCTGATGGCAACAAGCATGTGATGGTAACTAGCATGGCCCGAACTTTTGCGTCGCCATGGACCATTGAAACCTTACTTAAGGAAGGGAGCTTCTTGTATGTGTAAGCCTTGATTGCCTCCCCAATCACATCCTTGGGCACCATACCCTTGGTCTTGATTGCTGTTATGACTTGCTTGTATGAATCAATGTCGAGATCTGCGAGATCCTCGACCCACCAATCATGCGGCACAAACTGCTGCTTCTTGACTCCATTCCATTCCAAATCAAGGCCATTCTCAGTTGGGAGCTTCTTGCGATTGTATGAATATGACCACTCAACCTTGGAGGTGTCAGTGGAGGCTTTCGAAGCAATGGAGTCGATGCAGTGGCTAACCAGCTTAAGATCCTCTGACCAAGGCAAGTGAGCCTTTGTAGTACCAAGAACAATGATAGAGTCCTTCCAACTCCGGAAAATGCTTGAGCTGAGGAAGACCTCAATCTTGTAGATGAGATTACCCTTGTCGACAGTTTCATGCATCTCCAAGTACTCTGCGGCGCAGCGGGCTGCAATGACATTGTAGGCATTGAGCGTGACAATCATACCATAACAAAACTTGGCACAGATCTCAAAAGCCTTGGCGCCACCAGGAATATCATGGATGTGAATCTCAATGTTTTCATCACCAGTAGTTGGGATCATCTTCTGAAAGCGAGCGCACTTGGACAGAAGTGGGAACTGCACGGGTGGAAAATGGAAGCATAAAGTTAAAGTAGCATAAACTTATAACAGTGACATCGCTCAGAAAAGTATATATTAAACATTGAAAGAACAAGGAAAAAAAAGTAGCATAAAGTTAAAATATTACTTAAGGTTTCAATAAACAGATAAACCACAAAAGAAGAAAAAATGGAAGCATTTGCTCTAGTTATAAGTGGTTTAGCATTTAGAGAAGAGAATATGCCAGCAAGCAAATATCAAACCTTACATGAGGCCATTATCTTCTGAACCACAAGAAATTACTATTGCAATAAGTTTTATGAAGGCATTTCTCTGAAAAAAAAAAGCTGCATGAATGGAAAGGAAGGACATTTTTACCTTGTGAAGGTAAAACTTTGTAGTCCCTATGCGAACAGTGACATCGCTCACTAATTCAGTTGCCACAATGCTGCAAAGATGGAACAGTTCTCGTAAGTGATAAGTCAGGAAACGAGAAAAGAACAAGCAGCCTGTGCCTAAATGAACAGTAGATTTTGTGCATCTAGCATCTAGGCTATTTGGAATAAATGGGCCTATATAATGGGATCGAGAAATATAGTTTCTATAATTACAGTACTAAACCAAACAGGAGAATATTTCTCTGTTATTTAACATCTGCATTTTGTAAGTTATTCAAGATCATACCAAACAGGATGTATTACACATTTCTTGGACATATTCAGACGTTCAACAGTAGTACACTCAGAGAAGAGTAAGAACTGATGAAAACTACTACCAGGTAAACCCCCCAAAAAAGAGAACAGTTGACAAGTTAAGATCATGTACAAGAACAAGGCAAAGGAACTGAACAAGACAAGACGAACAATCACCTGACTTCATTGCCATCATCCTGAAAAGTATCCGGGTTCGATCCAAGCTTCATGAATTTCATCTTGAAACAGGCAAAGAACAGACGCACACGCGCTGATCTTAAATCTTATCTCTCCTGATCGACGCCCAAACACACAAACCACCACCACCACCACTAACACAACAACAACGCTGCAACCAATGCAACAACTCCACTACTAGCCCATATTTATCTACACAAGATGAACAGCAACTAGTACCCAGGAGCAAACAAGTACAAGGAGCAGAACAACTTGCTGCACCCTGCTGGTGGCTGCGGCTGAGACGGCGACCGAATATTGCAACGTGCCCGGGAGATCGTTCGTACAACGGAAAACAAGAACAGACTACGAGATAGTAGCAGGCCCTGATGCGGCTAGCAGCAAGCCAGTAACAGCAACAGCAGCACAGCACTCAAACTGCTGCTTCAAGCACACTCCAAGTTGAACCTACTTATGCGGGCTGATGCTGCTGCTATCGTAGGCAATGAGGCAAGAATGGTGAGGAGCACAAGCACCTCAATGGAAGTAAACTACTCCTATATGAAGAGAGAGAGAGAGAGAGAGAGGGAGGCAAGGAGCCAGGAGGGACAACACCCACAAAGCACAAAGCTGACACAACCCCACCTCCTCCTGCTGCTACCTGTTAATTGCTGCCTGTCCTTGCTGATCTGAGAGGCGATTAGTATAATTCCCTTCTTCCACCTCGCCCAACTTTGTTTTAATTAACCAAGAATCACGCAAGATCTTGTGTCCAATGCAGCACCGCTCTCTCATAAACAACGAGTCCACATTCCTCTCCACCAACACTGTTCCCCAAGCAGGTGATCTCTCTACTACAAATCTCTGCAGCAACAACAACGGCAAAACACAAGGGTCAGTATATATTTTTTTCTTTATCACGCATTGGAGCAGGAGACACCGAGCATCTTTTATAATGCAAGGTGTGGGAGGCAATGGAGAGACCAAGAACGGCCACTTGCTCTCTCTCAAGCTCTGGCTCCGTGCGTGCGTGCTTGTGTGGGGAATCTTTTACTACCAATGTGCCAAGATCTCACAGTTTTTGTGCCGGAGCCTGAGATCGCGATGACACGAGAGGATGCGTAATAGAAAGTATATACGGTGAGATGTGATGATCTAGAGAAATTTAAAAAAGAAAAGAAAAGAAAGAGGGGGAGAATTAAAAACGAAGAGCACACAGCAAGCGCGGCCACAATGTGACAGCCATGAGGGAGAGGAGGCATGTGGGAGGAGGAGGCATCGAGATTTTATAGCTAACACGGGGAAGGCAACAAAACAGGGTACGCAACAAGGCGCACACGAACAAAGGCAAAGCTAAAGGGCAGCATCAGCCATGACCGGGGAAAGAGGAACAGTGAGACCCACCCCTCTCCTCTACTCTTCCTCCTCAATCTCAACCCAAGAACTGGTCAGGAAGACGAGTGGCGCCTCCAGCCTCCTCCTCCTCCCGGATGCAGCCACGCAAGTGTGCGCATCCATCCATCCATCCGCCGTGTGCTTGCACATGTGCATGTCTCTCTCTCTCTTTATCGCTCACTTCAGCTTTGTCAAGCGTGCATGCTTGTGAGAAAAGACGGTGTGGCAATTAACCTCAGTGGCCTTGCAGGGTGGTGTACTCCGTCCTCCTCCAATGGCCGCAGCACCCAGGAGTCAGGAAGCCGGGCCAGCGTGCCTCCTCGAGTGCCCACACAAAGCTCACCACGCCACCCTCGCAATGCCAGTAGTGTTGCTGCAGTGAGGTAGGACGAGTCGACCAGGCTAGAACAAGAAAGAGATATAGAGAGAGAGATAGAGAGAGAGAGAGAGAGAGAGAGAGAGAGAGAGATTGGGAGGAGGAGTAAGCTAGAGGCTCACCGCAAGAGGCCAAGAAGGGGCAAGGGGGCAGCGATGGTTGGATGGAAGGCTTTCCTGTCTCCTCTCCTCCTCCTCCTCCGCCTTTGAAATGAGCAGCCTGCTTTTGGCGTTCGTTGGGCGGTGCAGGGTGCCACCACCACTGTAGCGTTTATGCGGGCGCGGGTGGGACGAGGACGACGTCGTCTTTCGCTGCCGATTTCGAGAGGGGAATAGAAAGCTCTCTCGCCGCGGTCCAGCCTGCCTCTGCTGCTGCTGTTGCTGCTGGTGGTAGTAGGACGGATGGCCGGCGACGTGCTGCCGGTGCGTGGCTCTCGATGCCTTTTTCAGCCCAAACTCTTTTTTTCTTCTTCCTCTCTGCTGCTTTTTTAGGTACGCGCGCAGCGTAATGTTTATGGCACAGTATGGGGGGTGATGGGGTGGGCCTACCTGTCCGTCTTTCCAGCTGCAGCCTCCGTGTCCGTGCGTGCGTGCGCTCGTCCTCGTCCTCTTCGGGCTTGGGCCGGGTAACTGACGGAAACCCGGCCTGAACCCGGTCGGTTCTGCTCGAATTGGACCGGTCTTGGGCCTAAGGCTGAGTTGGAAAGAGGAAGTCACGGTAATTTTCTCGTTTTCTATTAGCATATTTTCCTAACAGCTAAACGGTATGCTTTATAAATTAAAAGATAGTTTATATAGTTTTGTAAGAAAAGTGAAATATATTCGTAATGTTATAATTGTCAATATCTAATCTAATTAATTATGTGCTAATGATTTGTTTTTTTTTTAAAGCCGCCAACTCCTCTAGCTGAACTATCAAAATGAACTCAAGTTAAGAGGCTGGCTGTTTGAGGAAGCTCAAGATTAAGATAAGCAGCAGCTAGGTAGTTACTCCCTTGGTCATATAGAAAACAAATTTAAAACTGGATGTAACAAATTCTAGTATAATGAATCTGGACAGTCTTAATATGTCACATTCATTTGTTTTTTGTGGGACAAAGGAAGTACTCCCTCCTTATATAAATCTTAGACCTATTTCTTTTTCATCAATACCAAAAAGCAATTAACTCATACATCATGTGGCAAAAATAATGGACATGCAACCAATAAGTACGAATGACTTCTTGATTTTTGATCAACAATTTAATTTAGCACATAGTAACTACAAATAAGACTTAGATTTTTTGAAAAACCAAATAATGAAATAGGTCTAAGATTTTTAGAAGGATGGAGTAGATTCTGAGAATTAAAAAAAGCTGTGTTTTTAGCTTCTAGTTCATTTTATGAATCTACAGCTACAGTTTCTCAAAAATTAAACAAAAAGTTGAACTGTTTGGGAAGTTTCTGATTGTAGGAGAAGTTACAGTTGCCAGAAACCCCTCCAAACATGCTCTTAGTGTTGAGCTCAATATGATAATTTGGGATAGGCTTAGACATATACTCCTACAGGGGCGTCCAGGGGGCCCGTGCGGGCCGTGCGACCGAATAGGGCCCCCAAATTTTAAGGACCCCTAAAATATTAAGTATGCCCTATATATAATAATATTAGAGGCTTTAATTTTATTAATTTGCAGTCCAAATAGTAGCAAACACAAGGCCCAAAACGCTGCATAAGGTGAATCGATCCATCTTCCATCGTACTCTCGTCCAAGAGTCTGCGTCGTCTCGTATCGCCGAAGTCCTGATGCCGCAGCCGCTTCGTCTCCTCTCCCCAGTTCTCTCCGGCCTCCGCTTCTGCTTCATCGCTGATGATCGGTTAATCGTCACGCCCATTTTTAATTTTACTATAAAAAATTTACTAGGCTACTAGGGCCTATTTTAATATTTTGCACGGGGACCCGATTTGACCGGGACGCTCCAGACTCCTACTTTCTACTCTCTCCATATAACCTATGGTAGGATTTGAGGTTAAGTTATTTTGGATGAAGAGATTTGACACACATAATTGAACAAGTGGGGAAAAGGAAGCTGTGTTATTAGAAAACGGTAGTAAGTACGTAGCAGTACAAGCTTACACACGTAAGCTGGTCCTCTGGTCCCAGATCGATCGCATAAAACCAGGGGCTCGCATGGCTAATAATCTGCGCCTCCGATCGATAAAGCTATCCCGCCTTTTCGAGTTTTGCTACCCATGCGCCCCGCCGCCCTCGCCCTCTCTTCCCCTATTCTTTATCCGCCGTCGCCGAGCCGCCTAGCGGCCGCCGTCTCGCCTCCGCACGCGCGTCGCCAGCGACGAGAAGACGACGACCCGTGCCGTGCGCCACCCGCGGCTTGGACGGCCGCGCGCTTTGGCCTTTGGGCGCGAAACGATGCCGTGAGCTGGCGGGGCGTACATCGCGGTGAAGCTGTGGGTATACTCCCTCAAGTAAAAAAAAAACCCTAAAATTAAATGTGACACATGCTAATATAATAATGAATCTGCATATGTGTCACATTCAATACCTACTGTTAACTTTTTTATGGAACAGAAGAGCGCTGTAATACATTACTCTCTTTGTCCTGTAAAAAACAAATTAGAACCAGATGTGACATATCTTGGTTATATGTCGCATCTGATAATAAGTTGGATTTTTATGGGACGGAGAGAGTATTACATTGGATCATGTCACGCTCTGTCTAACACGCTACTCCCTTCGTCCCATAATGTAGCAACCGACTACGAATTTAAACATGAGACATAAAAATCCAGATTCATAGTTTTAGGTTGGGTCTCATCCCATTCTAAGGCTGTGTTCGCACCACCTCGTTCCCATCCGAAACAGTGTGCGCGGAAAACGGAGCGGTCTATTAGCGCGCGATTAATTAAGTATTAGCTAAAATTTTTTTTAAAAAATGGATCAATATGATTTTTTAAGCAACTTTCGTATATAATTTTTTTTTGCAAAAAATGAACTATTTAGCCGTTTGAAAAGCGTGCGTGCAGAATACGATAGAAAGGGGTTAGGGACCCTGGGTTCTGAACACATCCTAAATTGCTACATAAGAGCAAGTCTAATAGTATAGCCAACTATTAACTCCAAATCATCTAGAGCCAATGTAGGAGTAATAGCCAATTCATATAATAGTTACTTACTATATTATTAATATCTGGTCTCACCTATCACACACACGTTATGTTTTGGAGTCCGTGTTGCAGCTGGCTACAGATCTATGGCCCGCTACTTTTCTCTTTTTTTTTTATCTTTTTAAAATATGTTTAGAGCTGGTTTATAGTCTTGTTATTGTATTGATCTTTTGAGAGGTAGGAAGTAACATTTTCTTTGGGTAACACACGAAATTGGCCGGGGTTTCAGGTTCAACAGCTAGCGCTTCCTACACGGCTACTACTACTTCTACCGTCTACCGTGCCAGTGCTCGTGGTAGCCTGGTACAGTGGTAGCCGTCGTAGAGAGGGATGGACGGCGGATGATGGCAGTGGGGGGGTCCGTTACGTCCGTAGCTAGGGTGGGGATTTACTGCGTAGCGTGAGCGCGTGGGCGGTAACCTCATGATAGCCCTCGGGTGCCAGTCTTTTGATGCGTGCCCTTGCTCGCTCTGCCCGCGACAACCTATGATGATGTTGCGCTTCACGAAGGCAGGGCATTTTCACCAGGCCGCACACACATATTCCACCACTGCTTTTTCCCTCCCCCTTTTCCCGTACGTAGCCGTAGGCGGGTGAAACGAGCTCTCCGTCCGTCCGTCCACTCGCACGCATGCAGAGGAGGTGAGGAGGAATTACGGTGTGTTTTCGTGGCGGTCCACCGCGCGGAGGCTCCTCTCCTGTTGGTTGCCGTCCAGGGCGTGCCCATGACGTCGTCGCTGCTGCTGCGAAGCTAGTGGAGGACTACTACTAGTACGTGCTGGAGACCGACGTTAGCCCGGACGTGCTGGATCTCCGTGGTGTCAATCATGCGTGTTTGACAAGATCCTGGCTCTTCTTTGGACATGTCATCAAATTTTGGCACTTGTGAGTTTGATAAGGAACATCAAAACATCAGAGCAAGTTTAATAGTACGGCCAACTACTAGCTTCATATTATGTATAGCTAATATAATAGCCAATTCATACAATAGTTACTTACTATACTATTAATATCTGGTCCTACCTATCATACACACATTACGTCGTGGAGTCCGTACTACAGCTGACTACAAATCTGTAAACCGCTGCTATTCTCTCTCTTTCTTTATCACTTTAAAATATGTTTATAGCTGACTTATAACATGCTACTGTACCTGCTCTTAGATCAAGAAACATCTCACATGTTCCAAAATAATCAACTTTTACACCAAATAAACTAAGGTCAGGTAAGATTAGATGTAACCTTATTCCGTGAAGATAACATATATAGCGGTGCTAACTAAAGAAAAATAATATCATTTATGCCCTTGCGCATTTCACCTATTTTCTCAATGGTTTTTGTTACTTCAATGCGTTGACGCAAAATTTTCCGCTTGACGTACTAGATGTGTGTCAATCATGCCAGCATTGAGGCCCCGGAGATCGACTAAGATTTAGTGCTGGATTATAGATCTTGATGAGGTGCAGGCGTGCCAGTCAGTTTGATTCTGTAACTGACAATATGTCGATGTAGCAACGACTAGCTGACACGGTGGAACAATCGGCTGTTGGAGAGTTGGAGACACGAACGTTGATGACAATTGCAAGCTCGAGTCTCGAGTGTGTCAAAAGCATGTGTTAGCCGATAGCCGATAGTCGATGGTTTGGTACAGAATCAACGGGAGGATCCGATGCTAGTACTTAGCATGAACGCTTTTGATCGTTGATGTTGATGGGGCTGTGGACGATTAGTTGTAAGCTTGTTGTACAATTGGATCGGATGATAGTTCGATACAAATAGATTCAAATAGTTAGACAAATAGTGAAGTCTCTTTTGCTGCAATTGGCTTTGGCCAATAGGAGTACAACTATTACCTGCTAGTTAGGGGGGGTGTCCAAACTTGTATAAAAATCCTTGTCACCCATCTATTTTTACCGTAATCTCGCGTATGTCCTGATACTAACGATCTCCATACTCTACAAATACCGTAGACAAGGCATAACTCGTCAATAATGGTTTTTTATTGGTTCTAGGTATATCATTAGTGGAGATTGTCTGCGATACTATCAACCACTTCTATTGTAGATGCAATACTGCAGATGATCCGTGTTCATATATCAAAACTTTCGGTTGCCCGATCAAAACTTTCGCGCCAACCGTCATCAACACCAGAGTTCGGAAGCCTCAGAAACTACTTTTCCTCCTTACCATCGAGAGTTTGGTTGATTTTTCGACGGGAGCCGGATCGCAGAGGACGAATAATGCCAACACGGCGCCTTGCCTTTTCTTTCTCTTTCCACTGGGTGGATCCGAATCGCATCATGCTCAGGTATCCGAATCTGACGACCGGGGGAGTACTTCTAGTGCGCATTGAAAGTTTGGCAACAACCCTGAGTGGATCCATATGTTTTCTTGCACGGGAGAATCATGCACACCACAGACACACACAAGCAGATGCAGCCCAGTCGTGGCAGTGTGACAGGCACAGCCCAATGCCAAATTGCTCTGATTTGCTGTCTCGGCGAGAGCAGAGCCGGGGGGCGGGGGCCGTACCGACCAGAGGAGCGTCGGGATGGGAGTTCTCAGCTCTCCCTGTGGACGCTGGATGGACGCGACGCGAGGGATCATCACATCACATCGCGTCGCGCCTTTCGCGGCGGCAAGCGAGGCATCGGCATCGGGCATCATGGCCCTTGCGCGCACACAAAAAAACAGGGGCCTGCGACGTGGTGTGTGTGATCTGAGGAAACGGAGGAAAGCGGTGGCGGGTGAGATGATCGCGGAGCAGAGGAGGCGCGCTGCCATATGCTAGCTACGCTTCGCTTCCGCGGGTTCTGCCCATGGTGGCGTGACGCATCATGCGTGCTTCGCTCGGAGAAAAGCGCGGATGGGACGATGGGTTGATGCACACCCAGCCGAATAATTTCGGTAGGCGAGTTGGTAGTACTGGTTGCCACCACCTGCAATAACGAGAGAGAGGGAGAGGTGCTTGGTGGTAATGGAAGAAGAAAGGCTTGTGCGCCAGGACTCTAAATTCTACTCCCTCCGTTCCAAAATATAATGGATTTTGAGTTTTTGTTTATATTGTTTGATCACTCGTCTTATTTAAAAAATTTATGTAAATATAAAAAACAAAAAGTTGTGCTTAAAATACTTTAGATAATAAAGTAAGTCACAAAATTAAATAATAATTCTAAATTTTTTGAATAAGACGAGTGGTTAAACAATGAAAAAAAAACTCAAAATCCCTTATATTATAGGACGGAGGGAGTGGGTTTGTTGGGCGTAGCTTTAACTTCAACTCTAAACTTTTCTGGAGTTAAAAATGCTAGCCAAACAGTTTCAATTTCATTCGAAAAGAGAGTGAAGCGAACTGAACGAAATATACTAAAGAGATAGAGTTGGGTTCAGAATGCTTCAAATTTAGAAATTGGAGCCCTACCAAAGACTTGCTTGGGAAATAAGTAAGGAGATGCAAAACAAAAGATGTAGTTCTACTCAACATGATCAATTATAAATCCCGTATTTGATTCAACACGATCGTTCAAGATGAGAATTCGGTAGGACTTGCGGGCATTGTGGTTAGTTGATTTCTTGCTCACGTGAGCCAAATCTGGATCTGTCGTGGGATACTTCTTCAGACTTTAATAACTCCTGAGCAGTCCTCTCAAGAACTCGAGGTGCAAGGATCATGAAGACCAAACAGCAGATCAATCGATAGCCAAGGCCTCCTTGACTGCATCGTCAAGCTAGCCGCTAGCGTTGATCAATCGATAGCCAAGGCCCCCCAGGCCCCCACGGCTATGAATATCATGGGCGGCCTCTGCATTTCGCAGCGCTACATGTATAAAGCATGGCAGTACTGTATTGCCATCATATGGTTTGATGGTGAGTAGTCTTCCAATCAATTGCGTATCTTCAATTCAGAAGCAAAACGATTGCTCTGTATATCCAGAAATTCAGACATAGATCGATCCACTACTTGCAAAATCGATGATCATGATGTATTCTGCCCATACTGGGGCTTTTCGTGTATGATTACCATTAGCAGCCTTGCAGATAAGCAGTGGGCAGCCGTAGACAACTACATGGGCAAGAGAAGGAGATGTACATATCCTAACTCACTTTGCAAGATGTAGACAAATAATCACACCCTTCGTACACAACCAGGCCAGCCTTGTCCAACTCCTCCTCCTTGTAACAGGCACACCGCTGGCTAACTTGCCCCGTCAGAGCTATGTCACCTGGTCTTCTGACTAATCTTGGATAGCCTGTTTCGCACCAAACCTAACACATAGCAGAGTTTTAAAGAAGGTTTCACATTAGGCAAATTTGTTAAGCCAAAATGCTTTGTCTAGAGTTCAGACTTCAGTCTCTAGAACGAGGAGTAACCATAAAATATACTCTCTTTTTTTTTAAGAAGTACTAACAAAATAGACAAATATTAGTTCAACTCGATCTATGGATGTCAAGCATCAACAAATTTAAGGCCTTACGGGCATAGCACACCCCCAGGAAAGCCGTAGTCCTTAGGTATAGAGAGTATATACTGCTATGATGCTATCTCAGAGGCTGGAATACCACTGCCAAGCACCCATCAAAGATATGATTCCTACAGTAGGTAGGCAAGGACAAAAGTGCAGGGGAAAGATCAGAAAACAGCACCCCAAAGGCTCTGGTTTTCGAGCAATCTCAACAAGTCGCATCAAGTTAGTGCTACATTATTGCTTTGCTCAAGAGAAAATAGTTACTCCATTCCGGACTTTCATTAAGGCCCTGTTTAATTCGCGAAAATTTCCAAAAAACATCATATCGAATCTTTGCACACATGTATGAAGCATTAAATATAGATAAAAACAAAAATTAATTGCACAGTTAGGGAGGAAATCGCGAGACGAATCTTTTAAGCCTAATTAGTCCATGATTAGCCATAAGTGCTACAATAACCCACATGTGCTAATGATGGATTAATTAGGCTCAAAAGATTCGTCTCGCGGTTTCCAGGCGAGTTATGAAATTAGTTTTTTCATTCGTATCCGAAAACCCCTTCCGACATCCAGTCAAACATCCGATGTGACACCTAAAAATTTTCTTTTCGTGAACTAAACAGGCCCTAATAGCGTTGCTTCATTTGCTTTTCTTCTGGCTACAACACATTTCTCCATGATTTATTTTGTTGCCACTTGCCAGCTTTGTTGAACATCAGTAATTAGCAGGGTTGAATTCTGGGGATAGAGCATAATCCTTGCTAATGCTCATCGAGATTGCAAAGACCCATTAGTAACCAGTCCAAAAATGGGCTTGAGAAGACTAGTGCACTAGAAGAATGATAAATCCTAGTACAAAACAGTGCACTACTGCCCTGCCAATGGGCGAATGGCTGTATGGAGAACTGTGAGCATACTCCCAATGGCCAACAGTGCAACTTACATGATTTTTGTGTGTCAAATTAGGGAAAATCACAATTCAGTTCAATTTTCATGTGTGAATCTGACAATTGGTAATGCGAGGTTTAATTTCATTATTAATTTTTTCATGAGATGTTCTAATAAAAAATCAAACTGAAAACAGCAGCAGTTGAAAATCGATATGAGGGTACTTACTTCACCACCCTCTTGCTGGCTCCATTTCGAATTACAGTTGGGTATTTTAGCTTCTTCACTCTTCTGTTTCTCAAGAAGCTGAGCACCTCTCTTTGCCTTCATCTCTATACCCTTGAGATATTTTGTAGGGTTGCCTTCATCGTCGTAGTAGCGTCCAACGATTTTACCAGCGAATCTGCATTACAGGTTCACAGAAATATTATGGTAAGACACATCATCTAGCAAGGTTTTCTTTTACACGATCCACAATTTGCATGATAACTTTAGCGAGTTTCACATAGCATATAGGACCTTGCGCTCTAACATGAAGAATACCACATAAACATGATTTAAAAACACGGGAAATTTAAAGCATTCATCAGGATAGAGAGATCACATCAGGAGAAATAACATCAAGATTCAAGAGCATGAAGATGTCCTACATGAAGTCCTCATATTGACAAGTAATCAAATGAAATGGAAGTAACTTGACAAATCAATGAAGAAAAAGCAGCTCACATGTATCTCTCGAAGTAAAATTTTCTCCAGTCAACAATGCTGTTTACCTGAAAGGAAGTTACAAAACCAATAATACCTTTTTTAGAGAACACACAGGCATAATACTGATTATGAAAAATTCAGCAACAAGGAAACAGGAAAAAAAAAGATTGGGCTTTTAAGCTACAGAAGTGGCTCATAACAGAGCAACCTCCAACATATGTTCAAATATAAGCTGCAGAAGTGGCTCATAACTACAAGATGTGTTATCTTCAGTTTACTACTCCCACCGTCCCACTTATATTATGGGATGGAGGTAGTAAGTTTAAGGTTTCCATTAGTTATTTAAATATACATGAGATCAATATGCTAATGACCTCTTCAACTGTTTACAGTGTTATGCTGATCACTATATCAATGTAAACATTTTCTACAGATCGTGATGCAAGCTAGGCACACTAGTGACATGACTACATAAGATGAAGATTTAGTTACTATATGAACTTCCAAATTATAAAAATGTTGGTAGCTGGTACGAGGAGCAAGAGACCAAACTAATTGAAATTCACAATATTCCTATGCTTGCGCCTTTTATGTATGGTCTTCTCTCAACAATTTATTCTTGACCATCTAGCTGTAAACTTTACAATTTTTCTTATAGATTCTACAAGACTTATAAATATAAATAAACTATGAGAACTGTGTTCTCTTGTCGTACCTCCATGCTAGATAAGCCCTGTAAAGAATCTGTCAAACCATCACCTGTTGAATTAGAAAAAAGAGGATATTCTAATGTAAGTCCATATGAACTTCTATAGCCATGACGACTTCACATCTCGACTACCCTCAATAAAATTATGAACATACTTGAAGGGAAAGATGTGGATGCAGATCCTATTACATCAATTTCTGGCAGAAATTGAAATTTGGCGAGCTTCCAAGAACTTCAACAATGAAAATAAACCAGTCAAAGTTATGTATCCTACTCTTCATCGCACCTGACCAACTGCATTTTATGTATCCAAGCCCCATTTACAGCTTCGACACAAATCAATCTTAAATGTACCCAATACCCATGTGCTACCTACTTCTGTTTTCATATGTAGATGTATGTTGTTGATGCTTTGCTAGGAAGCAATGTTTTATGATGTCTGCAGTAAACATTTATAATTCGATAAAGATCTAGGTGTCCTAAATTTAGCTAAAATGATCAACACAGCCAGTGTAATTTATTCCTAATACTGTGCAATAAACAGTGGATATCATAATGATATAGAGTGTGGCTTGTGGGTAATGTAAATGAACATCAACTATGTAAACCTATTACTATGCAAGCCAAAAGCAATAAGATAGCAGATTTACCTGTAAAATTCCCAGAAACAAATGCACGTGATGCATCCCTGTTATGGAAATGCTGTTTTAGTATCAGCAAGATGAGATAAGTTCTCTGGAATTATCCTAACAAGGCTTAATACTGCTAGTAAATGTTAACTCCTTTTGAGAATTATCCTAAAGCATTGCTATTGCATTGCTCCTTGTGAGAATTCCAAAGGCCTTGAAAGATAATAACCTGCCAGCGAAGTGATGATAACCACCTCCAGGACCATAATTCGACTTCCCTTTTGTGACATCAAACACCGAGCTGCATTATCAAACAAAAGGGAAAAATAAGTTTGTAAATAGTCCATGCAGTGGAATGGAAAATACAACAGAGAACAACTAAGTGAATCCATAATGCATAACAAAACTTAAAAACAGCGAACGGGCTTATAAGAATTTGCATTTACAACTGAACACAATAAGTTTCTATGATATGGATATAGGTATTACAATCCACAAACAACAGAGGACAAACTTCGCATCATGGATTGCCACTTGAAGCCACTACAATACTAGTATAATTTGTGTTAATAGAATTGCAGGCATACGTGAGATAAGTGTGAATACCCCAAAATCCCAAGTAGTATGGGCAAGCTCTCGTCCGTTCCATTGTACACTGCTAACTCTTCCTTGGTCCACAACCTCTGCCGAGTATAACACAGGAAGAAGAGAAAATAGTGCTCACTATACGATCAAATTTTACTATTCACAATATCAAAAGGAACATAGCCAAAAGCCTAAAACAGATACTCCTTCCGTCCTAAAATATAAGCATTTTTAGCTATGAATCTGGATAACTGTGTGTCCAGATTCATAGTAAAAAATTATTATATTTTGGGACGAAGGTAGTAGTAAATCTAAATATGTAGCAGCAGTAAAGTCCAGCATACACCATACAGTTACAGCCTTACGGGGCATATCATTAATTTCACCAGAAATCTGCGAAGTTGCAACTGGGAACATCTAGTACTAATAGCAACTAGCAACCAGCTGATTTTGCGGGCGATTTCGGATCCAGAATTCCGGATCAGTTGCAAGCACAAAGGCAGCTTCCACACATTAGATAACAAAAAACACGCAATATCTAACCTCAAACTCACAGGTAAGCCAGTGGAAAATTTCGGGAGAAGTAGAAGTAGAGAACGCACCGGCTTCCTGAGGCGGTAGAGCTGGAGGACGACGGCGAGCAGCGCGGCGAGGAGGGCGAGGCCCAGGAGGAGGCGAGCGCCAAGCACCATACCTCAGGCTCCCGTGAGATCCACCAGCCGCCGCCACCTCACCGCTCACACAGTACTAGACTGACGAACCCTCGAGGGCCTGAGACACGACGGCAACGGCGACGGTGGCGACCGTCGAGTTGGTTTACGGGAGCTCGTCGGAGTGGAAGGGGACGGCCCGCGAAGGCAGCGGAGCGGGAGGATTAGTTGACTGGGCCAGTGGGCCGGGCCCGGGATCCACGCGACAGTAGTGCACTTTAATTTTTATTCTGACGTACTCGCTCCGTTTTTTTTAATAATAGATGATACCGTTAATTTTTAATAGTATAATGTTTCACCATTAGTTTTATTCAAACAATTTATATCAAAGTTATTTATTTTATTTTGACTTATTGTATCATTAAAAAACTTTAAATGTGAGTTATACTTAGCATGTTTGCACTAATTTTTTAATAGGATGAACGGCCATACGTTATTTTAAAAGTCAACAACATCATTTATTAAAAAAACAAACAAATAGTATTACTGTATAATCGAACTTATTGATGAAAAAATAAACATATTCAGATAGAGAACAATTGTCAGTTTTTTTGGGTGTATTTCAATTTTATCAGTATTTTCATCGGGTGCATTGCTTTTGTTGGTAAGCCTGCGTTACACATACATCCTGATGCAAGGAATCACGTCAGGTTTAAATGTTCACTTCAATCAGTTTACACCGATATACGATAACTGTCCTAGAAAAACAATGGACAGAAACCTGAAAAAGCCTGAAAACGGTGTGCAGAATGCCGACCTGCATTTTGTTCAGTCTTCAGACTTGGCCTACAGACGACAACGCCGCAAGCCCGCAACTCATTGGCTGCCGAACAAATCGAAACGTGACCTTGCCCAGTTGAACAAAACGGCATGATGTGCGAGGCATGATCTGCTGCAAATGAGTCATGATTTTCTCCTACGCTTTGTAAGCTTCGGCACGGCACCTGAACCACGGCTTGCATTGCGTCCCTGCGATGAAGACGCCCCTCGGGCCTCTGTATTTGCATTCTCTGTGCCCTCTCCAGTCGCCGAATAGCTCATGCTTTTACCGCTTTGACTTTCAGAAACCTCGTCAATACCCTCACAGGCATCACGTGTTTCATGCTCCATTTCTGCACCAGATTGATCCACTCCCGTATCTTGCTCGTCACCCTCTTCCATGCAGAATCCACCACCGGTGAAGAGATAGTCTTTTGGTGCAGTGTCCGTATGGCAATCCTCGGGTAACTCAAAGCCCGAAGGATCTTCGTTCATATCAGAGGGATCTGTATGCGTTTGATCGATGTTTAATTCACTCGTATCCTGATGGAGCAGATTAGATTGTGTGTCAAGTCCAGCCATGTGACACATGTCCTCCTCCAAAGAACCTTGGCCCTGATTTTCATCGATTTGATGTATGGAAACATCATTATCATCAGCTTCCTGACCATCTTCCGCGTATGTGACCTGCTTACGCTTCCTATTTGACTGCAGAAACAACATCAGCATGAAAAAAATAATAATGTTACTCTCCAGTGCAAATATTACTGCTCTTCATGTGCAGATCAGAAGAAATGCATAAACAATTCTGATTCTTTACTTCAAAAAAGAATTGATTCTCAAAGACAAGCATGTGTGATATTTTGAGGACTACAAGCATATGCTAAACAGCTAGCAATAAATGGAAGCTAATTTTCTAGGCCAGAAAGGTTTAGATCACATCAAATTAGTGGGCAATATTACAGTACGGAGACCTTCAATAACAGCATCAAAGAGAACATGAGAAAGAACCATACAATAAGAAGTGCAGAAAACCATAAGGAGTACTTACCCTGCGTAATGTCAATCCCTCTGATTCATAGTCGTTGGTATGTCTAATATGGGAATCCTCATCAGATGCTAAATTAGAGACATCAGAATCTTCCCCATTTCCAATTATCACATGTGCAGCATTCATGCTTCTTCTTCCTTTGCCTCTTGAACCACCAGAGGAGTTTGCAGTTCTTTTCTTACTGGACGTGCTTTTTTCTGTAGTATGTTCACCTGCATCTACTAAGCTATCAGCAATGTCATAGTCCTGATTTCCTGTGTTACCAGGCCCAACATCTTTGGTTCTTTGCCCTTTAGCCCTACCACGACCAGAGGAGGTTCTCTCTTTCTTCTTGCTGGTATTACTAGTACTGGGACTATCATGATCAAGTTCATCTGTCTCTAGAAAGCTTTTCCCTGTAATACCCTTGATAGCTTTCTTAATCCTTTTGCTACGAATTTTTGCAAATCTCTCATTGAATGAGTAAAACGCCTCCATGCGTAGTTGAGTCTGCATGTGTGTGACACATGAAACTGTAAAATTTAAATAACCCAATTTTGCAGACTTTGGATTGCTGACATTCCGGTTAAATCACTCTTAGTTAAATGAAATCCAAGCAGAAAAGCATGCCTATTCTATTTTCAAAAGGCAGCGATTTCCTAAATGAAAATAACTTAAAGACAATGAAACGAATTGTCAAAAACTTGCTTTTTACAGATGCCTAAAATGCAAATGTTGCAGAACATGGCAAACCAGCACCAGCCGATCCAAAAAAAATGTAAAATAGAGGTGAAATGCTGACATCTTAACAATTGATGTTCTCAAACCGTAAAACTAACTTACTAGTAACTCATTTTTTTAGGGAACAGAATTCAATGGTATCCATAAACATATTATCACATCAAACCATTCTATAATAGGATAAATAATAGTTACAGTCTTCCAGAGACTAACCTCGTGCTTATTATACTCTCTCAAAACAGGAATTAGCAGTTCATCAGCCTTTTCCTTGCTCCACCCAAACCTTTCCCAACATAACCTGAAGGAACTCAACATTAGATCTTCTGTTGTTGCGCCAAAGAAAAGAAATAGAGCATGTGTGTTTTTTCATAATCATAATCCTTAGTTTTGAAACAGAACTAACTTGTGAAGAAAAAGATCAGAACAAATTGTCAAGGTAATGATAAGGAGCTAAAAAGCACATTCCACATCATAAAAACAAATTGATTATAACATATCAGGCAGCTAAAAGTAACAGAACACTCTGCTTTCTGGTAAAACTTGTCTAGGGTTTTGCGCTCCACGGTACCAGTCTGAACACCTACCAGAAACAAGCTGGTGCTGGCATATCGGATATATTTTAGGTTTTTGAGCGGTTAATGCCACTGCCAATATGTTGGACTACATTGTCCACCACTTTCCAGCAAGAAAAACATTGCTGCTCTTAAAAACTGATTCAATACAAAAAAGTGCAGGGAAATGAAATGAACGGTATCTTTTATTGTTTGCTCGCATCCATGAGAACATAAGGTTATTCAAGAAAGCTTACTTGCGCAGTAAGCCTGAATCTGGTCTTCCCCAGGAAAATGGTTCTGTTGAATCATCAACTTGTGGGGAAATATATGCGTTTATGACTGCTTCACTAGGAAAAGTAGAAGGAATATGCCAGTTCTTGCTCACATTCCTCTGATAAATAAATGATAACAAGTGCAAAAGAAATATTAGTAAAGCAGTATCTATAATCACCATGCAATTACAGCAATTGACAATTCAGTCTATAAAGACAACATACTTACATGCTTACTCATAAATATTTCCTTGATGCGTTGGGTCTCATTAGAAGATTGGCTGTCATCAGAACCTTTAGCGTATTCAGGCTCAAGGCTGTTTCCCTTTCCGTCTGAATGATTTCTGCCAGACTTTTTTTTCTTTGAGCTGCTACCACTTTCCATACCAAGTTTTCCCAGTAAAGTTGGATCTGGTGATTCAACCCACTCCCTGAACTTTTGGAGCCCATCTTCCTCAGGAAATGCGTGTGCAACTTCAATAGCATTCACAATGCCAATGCCACTGCATAATCAGTATATAAATAAATACACTGGACAAAACAGAAACTGAAATGGCATTTTCCCCCCTTCAAAATAAGAAATTGAGATGGCATAATTAAAGTACAATGCTCTGTATTCTTAATGACTGTATACATAACAAATTTGTCCAACAAAACAGAGCATGCACTTGATCTCTGGAACAGCAAGTTTTTCAGTTCATATTTCCTTTCAACGAAAAATGCAACTCAACAAGAAAAATGAAGTTCTGATCTTATTTTTATACAAACTGCAAAAAAAGTTACAGGATACATATTCTTGTTAGCATATCACCTAATTCCTTCAGTGTAGTCACTCCCAAGAAGCATTGCCATACGTATTAATTGTTCTCTTGTTAGACCAAGCTCAGACTCAATGTCCTGAAAATGTATTACAATATTAGCTGTGGAAGGTCCAGCAAGGACATGGACTTCCCATTGCTTCAGCTGGCAATGAAATAAAAATGAGAGTAAAATTGAAAGCAGAAAGAAAATTGACCTTCATTAAGTATGTTTCAACATATTTCCTATCGTCAAATATGTTCTTATAAACATTCCTTGCACCAAACAGGAAAACATCTGAATCATCAGTAACAACTCCATCGACAAGGTTAGTCATTTCCATGTATGCACACTGAGCTTCAGCTTCCATAGGTGCAATTATATATGGCAAGCCAAACATTTGAAGCAATTCCTGTATAATACAAGACATACATATGTTAACATTTTGTACTGCTAAAACCATTTACTTCAAACTTCCACTAAATCTCAATTCTGAGGTAAACCTTGCCTCAACTCAAAGGGAAAAGGTGATTGTATTCAAACCTGGCATTCAGCAAACATCTCACTGCTGACAGACTCTGCGTGGCTTTCAAGCTTCCGCCTTTCATTTCCGAGATATTCTTGTTCCTGTCTCAGAAGAGATAATTCCTTTTCTAGATTACTAGCTGACACACTATATATACCAACATTATCGTTCAGTTTCGTATAGTTTATCTCAGATGTGGATAAGTCCGTAGTTCTCTGGATCATATTTTCTTTTTGTACAGCAGTGTCAGGAACCAGTTCATCCATCAAAAGGTCATTTTGGAGTGACCTCGAGGTTTCTCCAGTACAAGAATCATCTATTTTGCACTTTGAATTATCAGAATTCAAACTGTATTGCGTCATAACTTTATCGCTATCGTTCTTAGGCCACTCGGGAGTTCTGATTGAATGTAACATTGAATTGTGGTGCTGAACTTCTGAGCCCTCAGGTGATTTTGCAGCACTAGTACTGGCGGTCATATTACATGGAGGGAGAGGATCCAACAAATAAGCTCTCTTCATATCGGCATGCCCATCACTATTCTCGGGTTGAGTCTGATTCTCGTTTTCTCGTCCATCAACTACAAGTGATCCATGCACTATATCATTCTCTTCACAATTTATTTCCTTCCCAATTTTATCAGCTGTCTTTCCTGCAGCTCCAGCTGGCTTAGGAACATCATCATAAGATTGCAAAGGTTTGTCTTCAAAAGATGCCTGTAAATCTTCAGGGGTCACATTTTCATGTTCTTGCTTCTTAAAATCCTCTAAACTTCTCCTTATAGCTTCCTGAACAAGGGCATCTTCTTCTAGATCTCCTTTCGGTACTTTAGATTGATCGTTTTCATTACTGGAAGGACCTCCAGGAACATCACAACCACCTTCTTCCCACTCTATCTCATCATCAGTACAGAAATTGTCCATCAGTGATGCTTGGTGATCCTTCTCATCAACTTGCATAGGAGGTGTTTCACTTTCAAGTACGCCTTCTTTTGTAATGCAATCAGAGCCATCAGTCTGTTCTGTAGTGAATAAGTTGGATGAAGCTCCAGAAGCTAAATGCAAGAAAATTTGGTCATCATTGTCCTTCACTTCTGTTTGATCGTCAGCAAAGGATATCTCTATTGTTTCTTTGCTTCCATGATAATCACCCTCAGAAATTTTGTCAGATCCTACTAGTGATGATGTGTGATGGTTATCGCTAGCAGTTTCATCATAATCTTCGCTGAGATGAAGAGAACTCCGCAGCCCATTACCTTCAAAAAGATGTTCTGGAAAATCTGGAGGCTCTTCATTGTTAGCTAATCCTTCAACTACAGAGTCATGCCCCCTGTTTCTGACCTGTTCATGCTCTTTGATAAAATCCAAATTCCTTTGAATATCACGAGTCATACGAATTCCCATTGCTTTGACCCTACTTACTCTAATCCTTCCTCTCTCATCACGATATGTCTCAACATCAGGTCCAAAACTCCCCAAAGGCTCACTGTTGTTAGGCTTAATTGAGCTAGAACTACTAGTGGGATTGGATTTGAAGACAGCAGGATTGATTTCCCTCTTTGATTTAATGCTATCGACAATATGCTCCTTTCCGCCTCTTTGTGCTAATGTCCTGATCCAGATAAGTATCATCAATATCTATATGGGTTGGAATTGAATTTTAACAAGTACAGCGACCGAATGTGATGCACACTCACATGCACAAAGTTAACAAATGACTATATGTGAAGACTAGTACTTACTGTTTATCACCAGTGAATGATGATGAGAAAATGAACTCTCTGTTAGCTTCAGATGCTATTTTTGATGTTTGGACGCCTCCAACACCCCTGCCTGCAGCACCCCTCTGAACTTCATCTATCTCTCGCCTGAAAGCAACAGTTTTCAGGTACGACTGTATTTGGAGCTCTGAGAATTTTGCAGGTTCCTGCAATGAGTCAAATCATCACAAGGTCATACATGCCACACCTAACTACTGAAAATGGCACAGTTTATGTAAATAAAATTATATAAAAAGGTTGTATTCATAGAATTATAATACTTCTAGTAAGATATAGTAACATTAGTGATATGTTGGACCATGCTGATAATCCAAAGAATAATGTCTATTACCTTTTTAATTTTCTGGTACTTCTGCCTGTTTTCAGCCATCACTCTCTCCCTCATCTAAACCAATCATATTCTCTTAAATTAGTCTCTGGTTGCATACAGTTTAAGGTACCAAGGAGAAACATGAGAACCAGTAGTTCATCCTCTTTACCTGAACAAGAAGATCCAACTGCATTGATGGAGGGAGTGAAGCTAATACTGCAGGATCAATATCACCTGTTGTCATAGGCTGCAATCGGATTACAAAAACCAGTACCTTTTAATCAACTAATAAATTAAAAAAAAAGCAGTGGGTGCACTAAAAAAAGATAGGGACCATGTTATGTGAAACTGAATAATAAGAAAAACTTAGATGGCACACTCAGTTTTCATCAAGCAAATAAAAACCAGATACTTACAAAGATCATCTCTCCATCATCCTCGTCATCATCCTCACTAATGTCAGCTGCTTCTTGCAATGGAACACTTACAGTATACTGTTTTCCTTTGCCAGTCAAATTTGCCTCTTCCTCTGCAGCAAGTGATGCGGCCAGCCTTAAAACATGCAATAAAAACATCAACTTAATGATCTTAACAAGGAAGAAGTATGTGGAAGCTATAGGGAGGCACACACAGTTCATCCAGTTTCTCCTGGTCGATTGGTGCTACAATCCCCCCGCTGTTTTCTCCATCGTTGTTTTTCTTTTGCTCTCCATTAATTTTCTCAATTTCTCCCATTTTACTGCTCTCAACTTGCTTGCCTTTATTGTCATGCTTAGCCCTGTCACTCTTGATTTGAGCTGCCAATTCTTCAAGCTTCCTAGCCTTGAGCTGGAACCACATGCCCAAAACCATAAAGATATTGATTTTGCCTTTCCAACAAACTTAAAATACTAGTAAAATTAAAATGCCATACCATCATTGCTAAACGAATGGTCATTTGAATTTTTTTTTTCAATATGATATAGTATGGTAATGGAGTGTGGACTACTCGGGAAAAGAAACTAGAGGAAATTAAGAGAAAATATCAGAACAAATTTAATAGCCTAGACAACTCTTGGGAAAAGAAACTAGAGGAAATTAAGAGAAAATATCAGAACAAATTTAATAGCCTAGACAACTCTCCTTTATGTCCACTACAAACACTTTTGGGTGGTTAGGACACATTTGGGACCTAGGGAAATCTCCCAGTTCCTGAAGAAACTGAATAGTGGAATTCCAGTGGAAAGAGATCAATCAAATAACAGGATGATCACAAGGGTAGAGTCCAATACAAAAGAAGCTGGTGGGATAAATTGCTCCCTTTGCTTGTAATTTTTTTTGTGGGGAATGTAAATTAACCCTGAGAAACATGTTTATGACACGTTTTTTCCCATAGAAATGCAAGGCATCATCCTTCAGAAATCAGTAGTAGTTTTTCCCCAGAGAAGTAATACATGGGCCTTGGGTAGATCATTCTCTTGTTCACATGATCATAGCATATTTGGTTGTCATTGTAGTGTTGTACTGGTACTAAAATAGAGTGTATAGTGCAAATTCTCTGGTCATCACTCACTACTAGTACTGGATTAGGAATAAAATTTCCTACAAATCAGCCATCATCCCTACAGTATCAATTGGGAGGATACCTAAAATACGCTGCGCCAATAAGAGGAATGGGGGGAGAGAGGCCACGTACATGGGAGAGCAGGAGCTTCTCGGCGGTCTTCCGGACCTTGGCCTGGGCGGCGTCGCGGTGGCGGCGGCGGGCGGCGAGGGTGCGCCGCTTGAGGGCCGGGGTGGCGCCGTCGAAGACGAAGACCGGGCGCGCGCGGAGGAAGAGGAGCTTGCAGATTCGGCGGAGGAACCCGAGGAGGTGGGCGTCGCGGATCATGTCGCCCTTGTCGTCCCGCATCGCCCGCATGAACTGCACCATCCAGATGCTCGCGTCCACCGCCAGCCGCTTCCCCGCCAGGGTCTCCACCGACACGCGCCGCCCCACGGGAGCCAGCAGCTCCCACAGCCCGTGCACTCCCATCTCCCCCCCGCCGCCGCTGGGACGGCTTCCGGCGACCGCTCCGCCTCCTCCTCCGCCGTCGCCGGAGCACGGGAGTGACGCGACGCCGACTCGCCGATGAGCCGGATGGAGTTGCGATTACACGCAGGTTTTTTTTCCCTCATTTTGGAGAAGAAAAGGTCAATCGATGGCCGAATGGCGGTTCGCGTTATTCCAGTCTGGGCTACGGCCCATGTGGGTAATGGGCTCAATTAAGGATTTTGGGCCGCTCAGGTAGTTGGCCCAAGTCGATTGGAGAACAACCGCACAATGCTTATATCTATTCCTATATCTGAACCTAACGAGAAACCAATGCTATTGCTCAGAACTAGCAAATCTCAACTGAAACTTGATACTCTTTCTGCTTTTCTTTTTCAGGAAACGAAAAAAGATAATCTCTAGACTTCTATAAACAGTTTCCTGAAATTACCCTTTTCATATCTGAAATTGATTAAACTACCCTGCTATATACTCCCTCCATCCCTAAATGTTTGACGCCGTTGACTTTTTTAAACATATTTGACCGTTCGTCTTATTCAAAAAATTTAAGTAATTATTAATTCTTTTCCTATCATTTGATTCATTGTTAAATATACTTTTATATATACATATAGTTTTACATATTTCACAAAAAATTTTGAATAAGACGAACGGTCAAACATGTTTAGAAAAGTCAACGGCGTCAAACATTTAGGGAAGGAGGGAGTAGTTCTCATTTTGTCTTTAGGAACCGAATAGGTTAGGATTTCTGGAAAAAGGGTTTTGTAGGGATGCAAATATCCAACCCATGTTTTCGAGTACTTATGATAAAAGAGTTCATTTTCTTCAGCTAATGGTCCTGCACCCTTGTTGAATGATATGCTTTTGTCCTACTAGTTGGATCTATGATAGAGCACTTTCTTCTTCAATTATATAAGACGGTCTCTCTTTTAGTTAACACATCTTTGCTAATCTAAGATCGGGTGATGTTATAATTAGCTGACTTTGTGCTAGTTAATTAGTTGACTTCGATGCTAGTAGTGTCAATTAACATTGTTTTATGTATGTTAGTCTGAGTCTCTCAGCCTCTCAGGTGAGGAATGATTCCTTCCAATAGCCAAGGGAAGTTCTTTCACGGTGAAATTTCTATTTGGGGATGTACCTTTTCTATGAAACAGTAGCTGTTGCACTATAGAGTATAGTCTAGTGTTTAATCTGTATGAGCTAGGTTGAGATGTTGCATTTCTACATTGTATTTTTCTTGACACTAATTTACTTCCCACAGGAACATTTTGTTCAAGTATGGCTGTGTATGTAAACTTAGTCTTAACAATGTGTATCTAAAATTATATTGTATAGGATTATTAGCCGAAATGTAAAACCAATTGGGGCCCTGACAATAAGATAAGTATACTGGTCCAAACTCCGGTGTAGGGCTGTCAACGAGCCGAGCTCGAGCGAGCTTAGATCCTCAGGCTCGAGCTCGGTATGAACTCGAGTCGAGCTCGAGCCGAGCCTGGACTAACCTTCGAGCTTGCAGTCAAGCTAGCCTCGAGCCTAATCGAGCTCGCATCAACGCAACACAAGCATGTGTACATATTTCAAAAAGTAGAGAAGCTGACAGAAAGCTGTAGCTGGGCACGTTGTGTAGAGATACGGCCATACGGGAGCACTAGTGTACTGTACTACTAGTACTAGCACAGGAGTAGTCTGCTTTGCTACTACTACTAGCTTTGGGAGTAGTGTTCAAGAATTGATTGCTTCTGTACTTCACATAGACCAATGTTGGAGTAGTAGCAGACCAAGGAAAAGCATCGATGATTTTTTATTGGAGACCAAGGTAAAGCATGAGACATGACAGTTACTAACTAATACTCGAGTCTTTACCGAGCTATTCGAGCTCGGCTCGTTAAAGTGCACGAGCCTCATTTCAAGCTCGAGCTCGGTTCGTTTTAGGCTCAAGCCGAGCTCGAGCCGAGCCTATAACGAGTCGAGTTCTAGTAGCTTGCGAGTCTCGAGCTTTTTTGACAACCCTACTCCGGTGCGGTGAAGGCCACGCGCTACTGATGTTTGGTTGGAGGTATCAGAGTTGGCGGGCGACGGACCACAGCGACGGGGTGAAGAGGGTCTCAGGCGAAACCTAGCCTAGTGCTTTATTGGGCCGGCAGCGGCTACGCCTTTTGGTGCAGTAACCCTCTTGGGGGCGTTGTCGAGGAACCTTCCTCCCTCGACGAGGATCTCTAGGTGAAAACCGTGTCCAATTTCTTTGGACGGGCGACGACAGCGTCTTTTAGCGTCGCAACCTTCGTGAAGGCATTGTTTTCGGAGTATCCTTTCTATGGTGTTGTTGTATACCCGGCGGCGACCGGTCTCGCATAGCGGTGGCCGGTTTGGCGTTCAGCTCTCCTCTCTGTAGCTTGTGTCTGTGTGGTTGGCGTGTGGTGTCGGGGCGTGTGCTTTGCTGCACATCCTTTCTCGACAGCTCGCTGTCGATGAAAAACTTTCTTGTAAACATTTTTTTCCTCTATCTTAATTACATTTGATGATCTCCTTCGGTAATCCCGACAAAAAAAAAGTATACTGGTCCAAACAGTTCGATGTTATAGAGTATATTTCTCTTAAGCCAAACATTTCCCCGGGTGGCAGGACTAACAATGTCAACTATTATTCATTTCAATGAGAAAGGGAACAATACACTAGCTGTATATCTGCATTCGTATAATCTGTATGAAGATTTTAAGTCTGTTTTGAACTGCTTGAGAATATTGAGATAGCTCATGTCTTACTTTCTTTTCTCTTTAGCATCCAGCTTGTTTAAGGTTCCGGTTGATTTCTTTTGCCAGATCAACAGTAGACTATTCAGTTCAAGACATCAAACAGAACTTTAAAGCGTGTTGTTCTTTCTTGACCGAGTTACTGAATATATCTGTGGAACTGGTGTAACGACTCACAGCTTTTCAAGACATGATGCTCTACTTATCTTCCTTTTTTTTTAACTTTGGGCCTGATATACATGCGTTCAAAATAAGTATATTGTCTATCAATATTTTCCCAACGCATTTGATTAGCTGGTAACTGGTAAGTACTTTTGCTGAAAGTGTTTGGTTATGTAGACTTGAAATATGCTAAGTTGATAGTTTGCAGGATCATAAAAACAATTTGCAGCTAAGCTGTTACCACCCTGGTTAGCAATTCCAGTTATTTCAAACTCTAAACTCTATTTAGAGCACATGTGTTTCAAACGCACACTTTTTTCATATGAAAGTTTTCATATAAAAGTTCTTCGTTGAATGTTTTTTTATGAAAATTTTGAGATAAAGTTTTTTTGGATGAAAGTTTTGCAGATGAAAGTCTTTAGAAAAAAACTATAAGCTAAGAATGCAAGTGCGCTAAATAGCTGTACCCCTTGTATTGTGTTCTTCCCCCAGATTTCCTAACTCACTTCTCTCGTTTTCCGCACGCACACTTTTCAAACTGCTTTGCAAAAAGTTTCTATATAAATGTTGTTTTAAAAAAACATATTAATTATTTTTTTAAAAAAATAGTTAATACTTAATTAATCATGTAATAATATGTATTTTGTTTTGCATGCCGAGAAAGAGGTTTCCCAACCCCTCATCTCGAACGCAACCTAAATAGAGTTTAGAGTTTGAAACTCCTGCAATGCATTGCTTGGCTGCACAAAATACCTCAGGCTGTGTTTAGTTCAGCGTAAAGTTTGGATTTTGATTAAAATTAGAGATGGTGTGACTGAAAAATTGTATGTGTATGACAGGTTGATGAGATGAAAAAGGGCTGAAGTTTGGACACAACCTCAGTCTTCTTACTCAACAGAGTAGCTGTAGACAGTACAATGGTCTAAACAGATTTGATACGGAAATCAAATTTACGTGTCCTCCGCATGCAAGTTGATCAAAAAAAAGGAAGTCATGGCCGGAACAATTCACTGAATATTCGCACTGGGAAGTAGTATTTTTTTTTCGAGAACGATTGCTGTTGAAGAAGAAGAATATCATGCGTGGACACACTGATTGGCCTGACAAAACATAGTTAGCAATTTGCATTAGGCCAGTCACAATGGCTAGTGTCATTGCACGGCTACCCAAAATATTATACCATCTTCTCTCAAATGAAATCTTTTATGAAACAATCCCCACAGTGGAGGGGTTTCACTTTGACGTTTCCAAGACTAAGCAAAGCATTTAATTGATACAAGTTGCTGGGATCATTTGTACCCAAAATCCGGCGCGGCGCGGGAGAATGCGGAGGTCGCACGGCGGAGGCGGACGCAAGAGATCCGGTGAATGAAACGAATCGGCCTCAACGGGGGTTTCACTCTGTTACCGAGGACTTGGAAACGACGCTGACGAGTTTCACCAGGATGAAACTCTTTCCTTCTCTCTCATCCCCATTTCATGCAAATAATCATTTTTTATTCAGTCTTACCCCTATTAAATGTGCATGACACACCAGTGAAACCCCCATTGTGACTGGCCTTACGGCAACATTTGGATATCGAATTATGTCCAAAGAGCGAAGGTATCTGTTAGCTAATCATCCGATCGGACTCCTTTTCTTTAACTCATATTCTCTTAATTATTCCTGTGTTTTGCCGGAATCCTGACTATCATTTCACTTTCTGCTCAAATGCAGTCGTCAAAAGACATGTTTAATTTGCTGTTCTAGATCCATCACTTAACTAGTAATACTTAACTCTTTCTCAAAAAAAAAAAAAACTTAACTCCACTAATGCACCACTAACTCACACGCTTAGCAATTAATGGAAAGCATAAACTATATGTCATGTGTGTTCTCATCCTGTGGACACCTGTCGATCGACCAAGTGACAACAAAACTTCTATACGATTGCTAATCGGTTGTGACTCTTGTAATGAAAAAGAGTACGTGTTCTTGACTGGATATAGAGGTCGTTTTCTTGCAAGCAAATGATGGTGATTGGTGGCGTACTGGTTTGAGCATCGGGGTGCACATGATGGTGGTGGCGTCCAAGTGCATGAGCAGTCAACCAGACAACACTGTTGTCTGTCATGGACCGATGGACGTAGACCGATCGACTAAGCAGGCTCAGGGCTCAACTTCGTGCGCCAAGCTGCACGATGAGAAAATCAAAATA